CCTGTAGCTTTACTCTTGAGCCAATATCACAAATTAAAAACAAGACAAAAAGGAAACATTGTAAATAGTGTACCAGGGTTTTTGTCGGTCAAATATGTATTTTCTCTATTCTCATGAGGAGATATTTTGTTGGTTACTTGAAGGCCAAAGGCAAAACATGTACATGTTAATAAGTATTTATGTTGAGATTAAAAACTTAAGTAACCCATTTTAAGTGAAGAATGTCTCGACTCGGTAAACAAGCATTATCACCACATCTCTCTCGTGTGAGTCCTGAGTTCTATCAATCTCTGTCAGGTTGCAACAAATAATATCTAACATCTACCTGCAACAGTTGGCCCACCATAAGCTTATTTATATGGAACTAAAACTAACGATAGATCTCCCACTGTCCACTTAGGCCTTCCACGAGGAGTACTCGCGTTTGTACGAGCTCTCCCAGGAGGAGACCACGCCGCCGGAGGACGCTCGTCTGCAGCACGCACTGGTCTACTTCTTCCAGAACAAGGCACCCAACCGCATTATTGAGAGGACGCTTTTGGAGCAGTTTACCGACCGCAACCTGAGCTTCGATGAAAGGTGTGCAGACATTAGTCGGTTACATTGAGTTTTCAAAACATCATTGTATGAGAATACAAAGGAGAATCTTCAATTGGACATTCTAAATCAACATTTTAATGCTGCACAGCTTTTTTATTTTTTATTTGTCTCATCAACTAATTTAGTTGAAATCCTTTATTTCTGCGTAGTTGCAGAAAAAAATCATCCAACACAGATATTATAACTATTACACTATTTATTTATACTATTTGTTGAATAAGATTACAGGGGTGAAGGTGTAGGATTGTTTCTGACTCGTGTGATATGCCAGCATTAAGCCTTTTAGAAACATCATATTCACTGCCGTCAAAAAAGCCTTTGCTCGACCCGTCACTGCACATAAAGGGAGGCTTCCACTCGTATTAGCTGGGATCCTAACAACGGGGGATAATGACATAAGAACACTACAGACATCAAGATCCATTCTGGCCTTATTCTGATACATTATGTATAAACAAGCTATTAAGATCAAATGTGGCTTTAGTGAAAGCAGCATAAGAATGTCATAAGACGAAGAAATACAGTAGAGTAGCCAGCATGCTTATACCGCCATCTAGTGTCAAGGAGGAGAGAACGGCACCACAGTGTGAACGTTCCCGTACCGGACCTTTCCTAGGTGAAAATCATTCATGACGTCCTTTCTGTACATGCAGGGCCATCAGTATCATGAGGGAAGCCCGAACCAAGCTGCGCCTCATCAGGCCAGAGGACATGGATATGGATGAGTACATGGTACTGTTTTTGGGGCATTCTTGAAATGATTTCCCAGGAAATGATTCTGTCTCTGCTTCTGTCTTAGGTTATAAACAAGGACAGCAAATGTACATTTGGGATGTACATTCGTTGAAAGAAATGTTGTCGGATTATTCTTGCTACAAAGGGCAGTGTACAGTACAACTTCGTACCTATTGGGCCAAAGGTTGGCTCACTTGAATTTAATGCAAACAGATATGTCAATTATTAAAAGTATAAATCTGTTGGTTTCTTTTTATGAAACTGTGACAGTGACAGAAACATGTGATCAAAATATTGAAAAATTAACAAACAAATGGAGTAATTTTGTATCCTGTGTTCTTTTTCACAGCAGTGGCAAGATGACTACAGGCTCTTCAGAACGGTGTTTGTCTACCTGCTGGCTGGACTGGAGCACTACCAATATGGAAAGTAGGTGTCAAATGTTAACCGCCACTAGGTTAGTTAGGTCAGGTCAATATTAACCTGCTTGTTCCGTCCATGTGCTCTTCAGCAAAGAAAAGGTACAATAATTCCACTGCACCTACAACACAGAGAGAAATCCACTTAGCATGTACATTAGAAGAACAAAAAAACTGTCTTCTATCACTGACATGCAGCAAGTGGAGGCTAAAAGTAAAAGGTTATGTCCAAAATACTGTTTTAAGACTATATTGCTATGTGTTGGGAACCATAAACATATGTCTCCTTCCCTTTTTAATAAAACGTGAGTGATTGGTTTTCCTATCAAAATGCTCCCTGATTGGCCAATCGTGGGACTGCAGTTTAATGGAGATAATGACACGCTGACCCATGCCTTGTGTGTGTGTGTGTGCTGCAGGATGCGAGAGGCTCTGATCTTTTTGGCTCATGCGTACGAGACCAACGCCACCCTGCTGAAGAACGGAGAGAAGCGGGGCGTGGACAAGTCTCTTATTGCTGTCTACAGGAGGAAATGCCTCATTGTGAGTAAGGCAGCGCTAGAAGTGTGTGTGTGTGTGTGTGTGTGTGTGTGTGTGTGTGTGTGTGTGTGTGTGTGTGTGTGTGTGTGTACAAGTAGCAATGTTGGCCTACTGCATATTAGGACATTTCAGAGCTATTTTAGATTTAGTCCAGAATGCTCATTTTGTTATTTTTACCCCTCTGCCTAGCTTCAAGTCTCCTTTTAGTCTACAAATAAATTACATTTCAATCAAGTTTTCTATTCTTTTAACTTTAACTTCTCTCCTCCTCCCCAGGCTTTGAATGAAAGCGCATCTCGGCTGTTTTGCAGCGGCGAGGAGACCAACGTGGCGGAGGGCACCGCCATCATGGACGAGGCCGTCATCCCCTGCCTTCACCTGATGGGCCGAGACTCGGCTTTGTCCCGGGAGGACCGGGACGCCATGGAGAGCATCCGCAGCCACTGGTGCTGCTGCCTGGGCCAGGGCATGGACGGTAAGATTAGTTGAATTCAAACAGTTGTAGCTTTCTCGACAACTTACTCGTCCTTTCATCTTATTGCTTTTTGGTTTTTACGCCTGAATTCCAAGTCTCTATGTCGGATTTCATTGAATTAAGATACCAAATGAAATACTAAATCATTTAAAAAAAGATTTGGCACATGATTGTTTCAGTTACCCGATGGAGACGTTTTGTCTCATCGCTTTAACCTAGAAACAAACAAACGTTAGCGAGGTACAGTCGCAATCTGTCATGCCCGAAGAACCTGCGCGTTAAAGCGACGAGCACACAGAAGCCTTTTAGCCACCGATGCTGTAACTAACAAACACTAAATGCCAAATATAAAACATACAAAAAATGTTTCTTCTGGTCTGTTTTCAGACTCGCTGCAGGTGAAGCTGGGGGAGTTTCTGCCCCGGGTCCTGGACGGCTCATCCGAGACGGTGGTCCTTAAAGACCCCCCTAACGTCCACGTCAGCCAGGCCCACGACCTGTGCAGTCGCCTGGCTGCCGTCATGGAGTCCATCCACAGCACCTCGGTAGTCAGCGTTAAGTAAAGCCCCGAGTGGCATTCTTTAGGGGCGGGTAGGGGGATGGGGCAGGGGTTGTCGCCAAGTTGCTCCCTGGGGGGGGTGAGGGGGGAAACCCCTCCGCGGGCTTCTAAGGCCTCAATGATCAAAATACATCCTCTCAGCAGCTCCACTTTAGAGTGAGCCTTAAGTACTTAGCGACTCTTTTTTCCTGTCAACTACGGAGGGAACCGTTATCGGTCAACGCCGCCGTAATCGGCTTCTCGTCAGTCAGTCATTATTCATGAAACCAAGCTGCTGAACAAATACGATGTGAAGATACAGGGAAGCTTGACCGTCTCATCGGCACTTTTAAATGTTGTCACTTGATTGGTAGGATTTATTGATGTGTTGTTAAGTAGCAGTGTGAATGCAAAATAAAGCCCGCAAACAGGGATTTTTAAAGAAAAACACTAGATTTGTACTGCACATTAACAAATGCTTTTTTTAATATATGTTTTATATTACTCTGGCCATTTTAGGTGAAGTTAGAAAGAAAGACACATGTGCCATATTACGGTCAGGGTGTTCCGTACGGCTTTTAGAAGGCGCTCGTAACTGTCAGCCTGTGGAAACTCTTCTTTTATTTAAGTTAGACAGTTCCCCTGTTGGCCAGCACTTTGTTCAACAGATGTGCCTTTGTCAGCCTTGTAAACCCTCTGAAGGAAAGACATGGGGCATGAGATGAAATCCTTTTTATTTTCCTGGTGTCGCTGATACAACGCGGTATCACCAATGAATCCTTCGAATCGGGTTTTTCAGCCAGCGACACGGAGCCGCTTCCGGCTGCTGATTTCACACCGCTCTTTCACTCAGACTGTGATGATACTCAATAAATGTTTTAAATATGCTGTGTACTCCACCATCATTGAATCTTTTCACTAGATAGACATTTGCTGAAACTGTCAGAGTTTATAAATGAAAGAGAGAAATATAAATGAAAAAGAAAGAAGATTGACACTTTCAGTGGGAACTGATGGAGAGGTTGGGGGAGCTGGGTAGTATGGAGGGACCAACTAAGAAGGGAAATATAAAATACTTCCAGCTATTTCCTTTTAGAAATTCTATGGCCACAGGCTTATTTTCCTTTTGTCCCTGCATGGCCAGCAGTGGTGACATGGTGTTTATCTTGCATCTCAGTCTGCCTGCCCAGCGTCTTATCTTAAGTGCTGGAATAAATTCATATTTCCATGGCTTTAGTTGAAAATGTACACACGATCTTTACAAAATTCACATGAGCCCCTTGCAGCTGTTGTGTAATACGTTACAACAGCATTGCGCTGTTTCTAAATCAAAGATGCAGTTATATCAAGATTAAGACAATGAGTGCTGGGTATAAATTAAGGTCTGATTTTCACTAGTCTGTCCTTATAATAACTGTTGTGCTGCAGAAAGCAAGTCTAGAGATGCTCTCAGGGTGTCATTGTTATTATTCCATCTGAACTGCATCGTTTGAGGAAGCTGGTGGCATATAACACCAACATTTCTTTTATTACATTGTACAAAAGTAGTAGTAATCTGCTTATTAAGAACAAACATCGCAACAAACATTAAATAAATAAAGCGTTGTACTTGCATTCCACCGCCGTGTCAACGTGTCGTTACGTCACACGATTGGATCCGGCACCTTTCTCGATGTGACTCGTTTTCAGCTTTTATTTTGAAGGAACCGGAAACGTCCGTTTAAAGGACTGTACTTGTACCTCACCTGTCTCAGGTCTCCGCTGTCACCGGGGACCGGTTAAAAAAAAAAAAGGAAAAAAAGTAGGAAGATCCCATGTCTGGCGAACTTGCCTAACATCGGGGGGTGGGACTCGTTAAACATGGCGGCGACAAGGGACGTCTTCGTCGATAGATAACCGCATCCGAGCAGCGGAAGTATCGGAACATCAGAACAGTTCGGCCGACACGGTGCCGATTCATCGTGTTGTGCGGGGCGGAGAGGACCGAAGAGGTAGAATACATCCGAAGAGGGCACGTCGACCGCACAGGTGAGAGGATTTCATTAAAACAAACGAACACAATGCAGCATAACAGACGGGATAATTGACGAGCCAAACTCTTTATTAACGTTATAGTTAGCTAACAGTTAACTCAATATGCTAGCTGCGTTTAATGTTACATCGCTTGTCTTAATGTTCCGGTTGTAAACACGACCGGTGCAGCCGTTTCAATTCCTCATTCGTGCGCCACAATGTTTCACTTTAATGTCACTCGTTTTCCTCTTCCGGTTTGCTTTTACGACGACGCGGAGTAAAATCCAGCTTTCTGGACGCTAAACTCGGTAAACGGATCCTGCTAACTTAACGTTACCAGTGTGCTAAATATACACAGGGGGGCGAGGGGGGGTGATACTCATCAGGGGGTTGCAGCAGGACTGCAACTCTTTTATGGCTTGTGTTTTAGTTTTCTGCGGTCTAAACTTCATTTGGATCCACAGCTGTTCTAGTTTCTTTCACCAACAGTGGATTTTTATTATGGAAGCTGCACTGATAACAGTTCCAATACTTTTGCAGAAACTTTGAGAGCTTAACCCTGTTGTTGTTGTTGTTGTTGTTGGAGATGAGCTGAAAATAGGGCTCAAACAGAAACATGTTGCACAATGAAAACCACTAAATCTCCAATGAGATCAGGCCAATTCATTATTATATTAAAGGAGGGGTCAAGTAGTTAAACCCCCACATGGTGGTGTTTCTGTAACACAGCAGAGAGAGCAAAGCATAAACTGCGGAACAACAAGTTCAGGACCGATCACAATATAAACCTTTTCTTTTTTTAAATTTGATTTCTGACCCGTAAGTTGTTTTATTATCATTATTAAAGGTTAAACGATATTTTCTAAGTTTCTTTTAATTTGAAAACCCCCTTCACTTGTGTTCATACGTCGTTGTGTCCTCCTGCTTCCCTCTCACTCTCACGCATGGACGGTTAATGCCGTCCAAAACTCTGCCGACAGCATGTTTGAGCAAACAAACACCACTTAAAGTTCACTGCGAGGCGTTGGAGGCTCAGAGGAAACGTCTCACACACATTTGCGTTTCCTTTTGTCGTCCTTCCTTTCGCAGTTGTCGTCATGACCACCTCTCATTTACACCCGCCAGGTGCCATGAGCGGCGAGCTGAACGTGCCGATGGGTTCCCCGGGGGTCTCGGAGCGACGGCCGGACGGCGGGGGCATGGACTACAGGGACTGGGTGCGGCGCAGCTACCTGGAGCTGGTGAGCTCCAACCACCACTCTGTGCAGGCGCTGTCCTGGAGGAAGCTCTACCTGAGCCGGGCCAAGCTGAAGGCCTCCAGTCGGACCTCCGCGCTGCTTTCTGGCTTTGCGATGGTCAGTTGTACCCACTCTTCTTTTTTTCTTCCGTTTTGTTTTTTCAAACCTGCTGCAGTGCAACACAACCTCATAAAGAACTATCTGGGGTTTTTTTTACGCTTCATCTAATAAAACGTTATTTTTTTAAATTTGATTTCTTTCAATACCATGAAAATGCATCAAAAGAAACATAAATAATCTACCACCGTGCCGTGTGGAAATTCAGCTGTGGGCAAGAAGGTTCCTGTTTGTGCTTTCAAGATGCCTGTGTCGTGTCGCTGAGCAGCATCCGCCGTGCTTCCTGGGGTTGAGTTCCTTTTTCTGTTGACTCATAATTACCTCAACCAATGTGGCGCCTGTTCGGAGCGTGCAGATTTCTATGCTGTTTGTTACGGTCATTTTTACTTTCCCTTTGGTTCTCACAAGTCATAGTTGGATTTCTCCTGTTTTGACCGATATCTTACCACAGTTGGTTTAGCCTTTGTTACCGATCATCCGTCCAACTATCAACCTCCTGCAGAAGCATGGACGCCCAATGACAGGCAACCTGCACACTCGTGTCCCTAGGTGGCCATGGTGGAGGTGGAGCTGGAGACGGAGTACGACTACCATCCCGCGCTGCTCGTCGCCTTCAGCGTGTGCACCACCGTGCTGGTGGCGGTGCACCTCTTCGCCTTGCTGATCAGCACCTGCATCCTCCCCAACGTGGAGGCCGTCAGCAACATCCACAACCTCAACTCGGTCAGCGAGTCGCCGCACGAGCGCATGCACTACTACATCGAGCTGGCCTGGGGCTTCTCCACGGCGCTGGGCATCCTGCTGTTTTTAGCCGAGGTGGTGCTCATCTGCTGGATCAAGTTCCTGCCCGTGGACTCCGGCGGGCGCCAGAAGGCGAGCGCCTGCTGCTCCTCCTCGCCGGCCAGCACCACGGCGGCCCCGCAGCACAGCGGCTGGAACGCCGCGCTGGCCGCCACCATCATCATGGTCCCGGTGGGGGTGATCTTCGTGGTGTTCACCATTCACTTCTACCGCTCTCTGGTGCGCCACAAGACGGAGCGCCACCACCAGGAGATCGAGGAACTGCACAAGATCAAGATTCAGCTCGACGGCCACGAGAGAGGCCTCCTGACCGTGTGACGGCGGCGGCTTTAAGGACCCCCCTCCTCTCTCCCCCCGCGAGACTCTGATCTCTTCTCTGACATTCGTTCGGGTCGTCGCAGAGGCCTTTTGCTTGGATTCAGCTTTAAAAGCGCCTCACTTTGCCGCCCAGCGTCAGACTGCTCATTTATTCTTAAGACGCATTGTCAGACTGCTTTTTTTTTTATTTATTTTTTTTCGATCTGTTACATCGGTTAGTCCAGGATTAATGTAAAAGCTTTACTGAAAAAAGGGCTACTGTGTTCTGAGTGCCATGTCGGTGTTTTCCACTGTCGGGTTCGGTGACGACAGCCAGTTACATTTCAAAAGTGGTTCCGTAGTGTCAAAAGCGCCTGGATTCACTGTGAGACCAACAAATCCCTCTTTGAATATTTAATGTGCTGACGGAGGCGGCATCGCTCCTCGCCGGAGGAGACGGCAAACGCCAAACCATGTGACCCGTGTGAGGACCGGTCTCTCTGTCGGCTGATTTCTTTGTGGTTGTTGTAGCGAAGCTCTGCTAAAATGTTATTTTGCGTTTTCGTAAAATTTGTTAGGTCCAGATGCCTCAACACTTTTTTTCCCCTCCTTTTTATAATCTCTTATGAAGACGCGTAAATATGAATGTGTCAGTGCCCAAATATAGTTCTGCCTTACAGACTTATTGCCTAATTTGTACTTCTTCTTTGCTGAAGGTCATAAAACAAGCTGACCTTTTCTTTTTGCTAAGAATGTATCCAAGACATAGCTGAGCAGGATGAGACGAGGACCGTCCCCAGTACACGCTGTACTCTTTACCATGTCCTCCTCCAGTTCAGCCGGTCTTTTGACATTTGGCTTCGGGCGTGTTGGTAAAAAATATATTTTTTAAAAGAGTCATTTTCTTGGAGGATGTCTGAATGTGTTACTGCATTCAAAGAAGAAGAGCTGTTATCGCAAAAACTGTTATCGCATTCCACGTAAGATGACCAAAGTGCTGCTCAGTTTGTCTTCCGAGAAGAGACAGAAGAGCACTTGTAGTTTAGCTGTGTGGGGAAGATGAAATTCACAGCCCGTAATAAAGAAATGCCGTATTTAGACGTATGTACTTGTGTCTGTCTGTTCTTGTCTCAGGACTCACAAGACAAGAACGCACCTTCAGGTTACTTTAAAAAAATATATTGACCTACAATTTCTTTGACATACTACACTTGGCTGTTTCATCATACTGTACTATGACTCTTTTATGATCTTTTCATACATGCTATAATATATTATGCAATAATAGATCATTTATAATGTGCTTTTTACACAGTACTATACTATAACTTTTTACTTACTATACTGTAACTTTTTCAACCACTATTCTATGAATTCTTTCCAAAAACTATAATTTATTATGAATTTGTTACAAAGTATTTTTAATACGATGCTATGTTTTACGACTTACTAAAATATACGCTTTTCTTTTTTTTGCAACACACAACTTTGACTTATAACATGTTGAATGTAGAATGATATTACATATTCAACTTTTTCAGATAAGAGATCAAATAAGTAACATTAGTCACACAAATAAATAATAGTTTTAACAGTTAAAGCTATAATGAATGCACATACGAAGTACATTGATTTTGATCTTGCAGTGTCTGGTTTTTATTTACACACACGGTAGTAAGGCCTGGCGGTATAGATACCGGTGCAGATAGTCTCCTGCGTGGGGCTGTACTGTCTTTTTTTTTTATATTTTGATATATTACTGTTACAATTACTTAATTCACCATATGACTTGTATTGATATCCTACACTTTTTTCAGCATACTATACTGTGACAAATCAATTATATGATGACTTCTTTCTACATACAAAACAGCACCGCTTTACAAAAAATGTTGACATACTATATATTTTTTTACATAATACAGTGACTTTTGAGAACTTTTTCTAAACATAGTATCCTGTGACTTTCATGGGCATACCATCCTATGACCTAATTATTTCAACAGATGATTTTTTTCCCTCCATGCTTCCTATTTTATAAAACTTTGAAGATGCAAGAGAGAAATAAAAACAGATCAAATGTACGGCCACGTTCAAAGTTTCAACCAAGTAAGATTTAATGTCTTACAGAGAACAGAATTGAAAAAAATGTTTTGAAACCAATTTCAGTGTAGGAGGCAAAACATTCATGGCAGAATGTTAGTTAAATGACTCCAATATTTTGCTTTTATTGGAGATCTTAAAATAACCTGTTGTTGACTCACTTCTATTTGCAAAAATTACAAAATCAGAAAGCAGGAAAATAGAAATGTCCTGATACGATGTGTAATAATTCACTGCACCCACCCGTCCCCGTCTACTACCAAAGAATGAGGTTTTTGGAGTCTGCCTGCACTTTTATTTTCGGGCCAGCAGGTGGCGAGCAAGAATTTCATAATTCACAGTGTGGCAGCCCAAATCTGAATTTACAAACCACAATCAACATTTCACCAGAAAGAAAATCTAAAAACGATGATGGTGACATACCGTCTCTCAAAGGGATGCAACTTCATCATCTACATATTACATTGCAAAACCTTCAAAGCAACCACAAAAAAAAGAAACATGAACGCCTCACGTCTAAGAATACAGGTACAGATCATAATATAATGATAATAATAATACAGGCCATTCTACGTCAATTAGACGAAGCTATTTTAGTTCCATTACATGTCAAAATAAATATGGACCGTTTACAAAGTAAATCAGATCATGTTTTGATATCTCAAGATAGAGATGTTTTCAGCTAAAAATCTCAACTCAAGAAACATTCGTATTTAAACTCATTTTACATTTTGTCGTTAGTGCAAATCCAAGTGAACGAGTTGCTGAATTTGCAAGATGTAAAATATTTATAGTTCAAAAAGGACTTTTAAAGTGTATAAATTTCTCATCTTATTCATTGCAACTCATGACTCACTATGTCCTTTCTGATAATAAAAAAAAAGCATAAGCTCATATTATGAAATACTCCAAACATATAAACTTGCGCAACGCTCTAGTTGAGCTGTTGTCCATGTTGACTGGAATGTTAAAAAAAAAAAAAAAAGTGTTTGAGGTGGTCGGCTATGGCTTCAGTTATTTTCTATATGTACATTTTGTTATTTCTTTTTAGAGTTATTCATTTATCCATAAGAAGGCTGTTTCAGTACGTCTTCAGTTTGAGAAGAACGACTGCGACCGGCTCGGATGGACTTTGGGTCGATGACACGGTCCAAAGTAAACGGACCATGATAATGACTAGAAATATTAGCTTAGCCAGACGTCCATGTTTAACAGTGCAAAAAAAAATTTTTTTTTTTTTTTTTTTTCATGTGTTCACATACAAAAATTTCCAAAAAGACAGAAAACTCAAAAACAACTGACACGCTTTTGAAGAAAAAAGAAAACAAACAAACAACTTAGTCAGATAAAAGAAAATATATAAGAACAATATTAGACAATACTTCTCTGGTTTATTGTTACTTTTCTCAAATAAAGTCAAAAGCTGCGATGACGGCTGAAAGTGTTGACCGGGAGAATCAAGACGAGTGCATCCGAGTCGGCGTTAAAGGCAACGAAGAGAGACGAAGAAAAGTCGGCATGCGGATGAAGGACCAGCGGCACACAGTAAGGCCACGAAGCTCCACACGGCTGCTGCCGAACAAAGATGTCCACTGTGGCATGCAACAAAGAAACCGAAAGATCAGCTTCTGCTATTCTTTTATTTATTTTAAATGAAGGAGATCGCTCCTTGGGGGTTTACAATGCATGCTGAGGAGACTTAAGTTGTACTGCTCTTAAAAAACAACCAGTAAGGTACTTAAATTGTAGAGTTATTCAAACTATAATGACCATCGTGGAAGATGATTTGTGTACTTTGGGGAGGATTTTGACGGGGTTCTGGAGTGTCTCGTTGAAACGTCTGCACCTAGTGGTTTCAAAATAAGCCTCTTTAAAACTGAAGCTCTTTTTTTTTTTTCTTTCCTTTCCTTCCACATCAACATCAACCCACTACACGTGCACAGTCTGTATTGATAACCTTCAACATTCACATGGAGCGGACACAAAACGAAAGAAAAACCCAACATGATATTATTAACTTGAGAGCTAACATAGCTTATAATCAGTCTAAGGCGAAAAAACAAACTAAAAAAAGTAATGGGTTGGTTAAATTTAGGAAGTTTCTACCGAAATACTGCGCGTGGGCTATCACTTAGTGGACCAGAGTCCTGTAGTCCATGCCAGCCCTCCCGGGGAGGAGTGGGGGGAGGGGGGGGGGACTTCACACCCTGAAGCTCTCTCCTTTGCCGTCGATGTGGCGCAGACGCAGGTAGACGTCGGTGCCGATGCCCTGCATGGACTGCAAGGACAGGGAGCCCCCCAGGTACTCGGCATAGGCCCTGGAGGTGGGCAGGCCGAATCCAAACCTGCGTGACACAGAAGGACACAGACGGCAGCGTCAGGGTCTGTTGTGTGCAGACCCCTGTGGCTCTGCAAAACCTCCCGAAAGGCGTTTCATTAGCTGGGCTTCCATTCTCGGAGATTTCTTACATAGCTCCGCCCCCCTTTTATTCAGGTCGCTTTCACCACGTCAACTCCCAACATACTGCTTTATGTCGGCCTAAACCGAACAAAACCATCTCGCGACACGCGTAAACACGGAGGACGTTCTGTGCTCGCTCACCCGTGCATGGGGTTGGACTGGTTTCCACTGTTGGTGATGTTGTTGAAGATGTTGCTCATCCGGGGATCCTGTGCGCTGTCCTCGGCCGTGCTGAAGTGGTAGTCCATTACCTTGTCAATAATATTGTGAGGTATGCCGCCGCCACGGTCTGAAATCCTGGAAACGGGGGACAAGGGAAAGTCACTTTTGGAAGCTTTGGCAATAGTCGCCTCATGTAGAATCCATGCTGTCGTTTCTGCTACTGACAAGGATGGACGCCGCTGGGTTTAATACTTATTGGATTGGATTTTTTTTGTGCAGCCTTTTTAGACTATAGAACAGACATCGTGCCACTCACCTTATGACAAAGTCGATGTCGTTGTTGGCAATGGTGACGACCACGTCGGGCACGTTGTAGGGGGTTTCCAGGTGGCTCTCCATGGTTGCCCTGGAGACACAAGTGTATGGATGTGATGGGGAAACGCTCGGACACAGAGCTCAACCGCTGGGTGACTTTACTGAGGAAATGCAAGGAACTTGTTTACATGATGCATAGTCTGCTTCATTCCTCTTGTAAACAAACATAAAATTCTGTAAACACATGTTTTGTATTACATTTTACAACTGAGCTACAAGTTGGAATAGGTTCTCTGTCAGGCCAAAACATGTTTCACTCCTTTTTCTGTATCTTAGCAAATAAAACTTGTGTTTGTTTGTGACATGTGTTGTATTTGGTTTTTATTACAACACCCCCACAGTCAGGTCCTTCTCACGGCGATTGCACCTAAAGTTACTTCAGTTCCATACTCTCGTATCGCGGCTCATCTTCAAGATGTCACACAGCGCTGATATAATACACATGTATGAGGTGAGCTCACCTCATGGCGTTCTTGAGGAGCTCTGGCAGGATGTAATCCAGAGGCAGAGGGATGAAGGGGAAGCGAGCAGCAACGTGTCCGTTGATCCTCACTCTGGGTGAGTTCCCGTACTGGTGCTCGCACAGACGCCTGGAACAACAACAGGCACGTTATTGTTTACAGGCGGGCGATTGGCCAACGAGCGGTATGAACATTTAGATGTGGTAAAAGTGGAAGAAGGTCATCAGATAAGATTAAAGAAGGTAAACAAAGACGATTGCTCATATCTCATTGACAGCTCCAGCGTGCGCTGGGGGGAGTTTATCAGGTGAACTCTGACTTCTGTCAGTCAACACGGTGCTCATACAGAAAGTCATCTGAAGGTGATAAATAAACAAAGCTGTGTGACCTAGCGCGTACCTGGCAAAGTCCACCCACTTCTCCACTATCTTTTTGGGGGAGAGACGTCTGCATATCATCCCGACGAAATCAGGCTGAAATGGGAGAAAAGAGAAAAATGTCAAAAGAATTGTCAAAATTGTTTTGAAAAAAAAAAAAAGAGTAGAAATATGTTTGGTAAAAATATTTTTTAAATATCAAAATGTCAGAAAAAGCTTTTAAAAAAAAAAAGTCACGTAAAGTAACAAAAATATTAAGTCAGAAAATGAAAGAAAAGTGACATAATACAAAACATAATATATAGGATATATAAAAGAATTTTGACTTCATTTGGGCACAGTTAAGACATCGAATAACCCTGAACTCCCTCTTATCCCCAAATAACCGGCGGACGTTTTAGGAAGGAATTGTAATGGCGCTCGGCCGTACGTTGTCTTCGTAAAGGGCGAGATGGTGCGTTGACAACATCCGGATGCCCAGACGAGAGCACAGCGTCGTATCCAGGAAGCTGCGAATGATGGCCTCGTCCTGCAATGGGAGTCAAAATATAAAAACATTAACAAACGAACACTAAATAAGACCATTACAAAAATCATTGGAGGGGACGTGCGGTCCAGTATGGGATCCAGTCGGCAGCCTGTGCAGGAGGTGGCGTCCTACCTGGATGTGTCTGCGGCACTCCCTGAAGCCCTGCGCCATCATGGTGACCACGTCTTTGTGGTCGTCCAGCAGCTGCTGCACCAGCTTGCAGAAACGAGCCTCCGTTTCCTGATCCTTGATCTGTAAACACAGCGAGGCAAACTTCAAAAAAAGATCTAATGTGTGTATATTTTAATTAGGAGGCATCCACGTTCTCCATGATGTGTGAATATTTGATTTTAATGCAAACAGCACCTCCCGGTTAGCCTGTCTTGAGCAATCCAGCAAAGATAAAAGAACTATTTATATTTCAAATCAAAAAAAATTTAGTCAGCCTTCATTTGAAACCAAAAAATGTGCATGCGTTGAACAGAGATGACAAAAGAAAGATTAATTGACGTGTGGTTGATTTATCTCTGTTCATTTTCAGAACGGAATGATTAAGTGGAGACAAACGTAAGCCTTCATTTCAGAAAACATGTTCAGCCGGTCCGGACGCAGTAACTATAATCACAGAACACTGTTGTGATATGAGCGATTATGGGATCATTGAGTAAAGACGATATCATATTGTGATTTACACCGCTGGGAGGGGAATGTTTTGACACTAAGCAGTAAAAGTAGTTTCTAAAGAATTGCACAACTAAACACTTTCTGAATGCTACGGGGAAGTTTCATTGTCAAAACATTTAGCTTATCAAACCCTGGTTTTGGCATCTTTTCTCCAATTATTTAAACCTGTAAATCAAGCAGTCGTTTCTGCTCCTTTGATGATTTGTTGGTAATGAGAGAAAGTTTAGCAGCAATCACTGCGCTGCTACGTGCAGCCAGGCGATAAAGTCTAAGCCAACAAATGCTCCACTTCCTGTTTAAACTCGTACGTAAAACCGCTTCTAAATAAATTGAACTAATGCGCGTGTGCGTGCATGCTTGTGCAGAAGTTTGTCACTCACCTGGGGGAAGTCGATGAGCATGTGGTAGGCTCGGATGTACAGCTCATGCTGTAAGAAAGGGCAGCAGAGGTGTAGTTAGATTGTGATCATCCACCTCCCTCCTCACTGGGCCCCACACCCCGCTACTGACATGTCCACACGTGGCTAACATTACAGTACAGCTCCACGTGCTGCTGAACAAAGCTGAACAACTCTTTCCCAGTAGAAAAATGAAGACGCCCCGGCCCTCCGTCCAATTCGATCCGCCCTTGGGTATTGTTTTCCCCAGAGGGGGGCGAGTCGAAGGCACCCTGACCCACATTGCACCCGGTGGCGCACAAAAGGAACTGCGAATTACGCAATCTGCACAGATGAGCTCCGGCGAGGGAGGAATTTGGGTGAAGGTTCAACAGCGTCGACAAGAAGTGGAGTGTCGGTTAATCCGTCCGGGCCCGGGGAAACAACGCGGCTCCCAGACGGAGGAGCAGGAGACGAAACACAAAGTCTCACTGGGAGGAAAAAAAATAAAGATGAAAAGGGGACAAACGGTGGCCTTTTATTAGCTGAAGTTCTGAGACATCTGTGTGGACGGCATGTGCCGCCGCCACCTCTGCAAATGGGGGGAAAGGAATTTTGTTTGTCCTAAATGGCCTTTGAAAGTAATGGTGCTACGGATACTCTTATAATCAGGTCACGCTGACCTGTACACTGAAATCACACCGACCTGCATACTGAAGTCTGCTGCCAATGCACATGTTGTACTGTATTGCACAAACACAGTACGAATTTATGGCACAACTTGGACACAGCAAAACGTGAGAAGAAGCCAAAGCCCACTGTATCATTCACAGAGGTCCGTAAGATATAAACCATGTATAATCTACGCAGCACTTTCAGTTTCTAATAATGAGCAACTCTGATCTTAACCTGTACCTTCTTAGAGCGGCATAAAGAGGATCTATCGACTCAAACTGCAGTGGCACGTCCCTTTTCCTTCTATAAACATCTGCTTCGTGTACGGGCTCTCCAACCCCTGCAGCTCGGCGCGTCTCGTGATTTGCGTTCTTACCACTTGCAGAATGGTGGGGTTGCAGCCGATGATGAAGGGCAAGCTGCGGAAGCCCTTGATGCGATGGGCGATTCGCACGGGCAGCTCCTTGTGCAGGTACTTGGCGCTGCTCTGAGATCAGACACAAACATGCAAGATGACGAGTCAGATCAGAGAGCTGGTCGATGGGAAAAGGCAAACCCCCCCCCCCCCCGGCGGTATCGTCTCATTGTGGCAGAAGTATTTACCAGGATGTGGTGGCCATCAGGAGACTTCCCAGAATACAGCAAGGTCGCTAAGGTCAGACGCACGGAGGGCTGGGGAGACATTAACACGTGCCATTAGACACACATTTAGAGTCGGGACAGCAGCTCCAGAGACCCATGAAGACTTTCAGCCATGGGCATTAAATACACAGGAAACAGCTCTAAAACATTTCCTGGCCAGCACACACTCAGCAATAACCAGGGACGGGTATTATTGTGTTCTCAGTAGTAGCGCTGAAACTAAACAAAACGCTTCAGTGAGACCAGAAATATTATTTTAACTTAGTATTTTTCTATATCAAATATTTTTTCAATTGACAAAAGAACAAAACCGCTAATGTCAACACTTTAAGGTGACTGAATTCATAGCGTCAAATGCAATTTTGCTTGGACAATTATATGCATCTGAATGCATTTGTTGTTGACTGCTTTAATGGAATAGGCCGACGGGCATGTAATTATAGAGGTCAGCTTGTGCTCTCGGCGGGACAGGGGTATTATAAGCCCGTTGATGTACTCATTCACACAGTCGGTGATTTATTGCCAGTTGTCTTCCTGGATTCGGCAGCTGCACCTGTGTTGCTTTTTGCAGGGATCATGACTTTGATAAAACTGAACCGTGTCCACATGAGTGACAAGAGTATTTATACAAATCGATGTTATCTTGAACATTACCTGGTTCGGAGCGGGTGAGCAGGTAATGCAAGTTATTATGCCCCCCCCATGACCCCAGAAGTTTAAAAGGTTAAAAGTGCATTAAGGCACGAGTGGAAAGGACAAGGTCCATGAACTGTGTGGGGGGGTGAAAAAAGCTGACTATTCATTACAACTGGAAATCATATAACAAACCACTGAGTCGTTCATATTCTTGCCAGGCCTTAAACGTCATTGAGGAATAAATGGTTTAAGGAGGACGTTTTTTTTACGTAATAGAAAAGAAGAAGAAACGGTGTTTTCAGCAATGATGGGTAAAGAGCTACTCATAATTTTCAACATTTCCTTGAAAACCCAACTCCGTACAAGTTCTGGTACCAGCTGACTTGTAGTGGACTTGACCCTGCATCGCTGAAACACCAGCTCATTTGAGAAATTGTGCCAATATATTTTGGATATTTTGTTAAACGGCAGCGTTACTTTGTCCGCTATTAAAAGGCAGTCGCCCGTTGAAAAACAATGTTCTCACAGAACAAGAACACCCGCGCTGCGTTCAGTGGAAGTCGATTACATAGCGGCGAGAGACAACGTAACGGTCACTGGATCGGTTTTATTCGAAATAAAGAAAAGTATTTCATATCAAATCACATATATTTAGTTTGTGCCAGTTTGGACACGCATAGCAAATGTATAAAAGTAAAAAGACGATTTACCGAGTTAAGTTATCTTAAGAATACGAAACAGCTACCTATTCACTTGCCTTATTGGTGTCCTTGAACGCACCACGAATCTGGCTAGCAGCTAGCATTAGTGTCAAGCTAAAGCCGGTTGCAGCTAGCCTACTCCCTCCGCTGTAAGAGCGACGTTTCGGAGTAGTGCACCGGCGAAAACATCCCGTTCTTACCTTTTCGGCGGAAACGTCTATCGCGGCCTGGTTGTAAAACGACGTGACAGACTTCGACCGCTCCCTGGCCATCTCCGATAATCCGTGCATCGAGGATGTGGACCGAAATCTGCGGCTACCCACGCCTGACATCGGCGGCACTGTTTTGGTGAGGGTGGCCAGCAGGAGGCTGCCGAGCCCCGGCTTGGCCCCGCAGGTTGCCCCGCTCAGCATCTCGGACGCTATGCCTGCCAGTCCCGGGGCGCGTTCGGAGCCGAGCCGCTTGAGTGAACGGGGCTGTCCTGTTCCCGTTCTTGCGCTTAAACGGCCGCGGGTCGCTTCGAGGCCATTAGGTTTGCGTCGAAATGGTGCACACAAAGGCACGTAACGGAGTACAGTAGAGTGGGTACAGAAGGGGTTTTGTGCGCATTGCCCAGTGGGGGGGGGGGGGGGGGGGAGATCTGGAGGTGACGTCTTGACAGCTGAACCAATCAGTCAGTTAGAGGCGGAGCCAACAGCCCCTCCAGCCCCACCTCCCCGTGTACTCAACTGCTAGGAACATTCATAACAACAAGTATTCTTGGCTGCGACTCGAGGTGGTCTGCAGACTGCAGACGAGAACTTAAGTTGACCCTCACCTCACATTTTAAATGTAAATTGAGCAAGAATAAGTGTTGATTATGCACAAAGGCCGATTTCTGAGTACGTTATATTATTGAATTTATGAATTATGAAAGTATTCCCCTATTGTTCTCGCTGCATAACAAGCTTTGCAGGACAGATGTCACAGAACATAACTTATTGTGGGTTTTGACTAACGAAAGCCACATATTGTACCCAATACAACCTCACTTACATATCAAATGTAACCTTTCCACTTCAATACATACTGAGTGTGCAATGGACCTTGTAATGTATTAATTTTAGGGTTGACATTAAAAATAACATATTTAACAGACACTCACATAATGATAATAATGAAATACATTTTTAAAATGCAATAATTTGATTTATTAAATCAATATATTGGCACAGTTTAAACACATAAAAAGAATGGTAAGTCGCACCCAGAGACATACAGTCAGTTCAGTACTACTGGATCAGACAGGAAGAAGGAAAACTCTTTTCTGGATTCACTATCAGTATCCGGGCTGCATATCTACTCTGCCTCTTTACTCCTCACACCAGTGTTGACTTTTTAGTGAGGCGTGTTTGTGTGTTTGCATTCCGTAACGTGATCGTGTCATTACATAACAGCAAGGTCCAAAGACTGACCTCATTACAGATGAGGCGCATTCACCTACGATTACCTTAAATATGTACATTAGAAGAAAACACATGTATGCACAAAAAAAAAAAAATGTCACTTTGTTCAAAAGCTGTATTCGTTATGTGTTGGTTCTTGGGTGCACAATTAATTAAATTATTCAACTTTAAATGTAAAATATATATTTTCTGTTTCCAGTTACACAAACTTCGGCCCATACATTTCCAGTAAGGCATCATGTTGGATCTTGGATTGGATTTGTGAATTTCGCACTGTTGTTATGGTTGGATCCGACATTTTAACATCTCTTTTATAACTACACTCTCAAAGATTCACATTTTGTTCTGTTTTTTGTGCAAGTTTTCCGTTCAAACTTCCCAGATGCAAACAGAGAATTCCTGGAAATTTCACCACAGCTAGTTTGTAACACAAAAAGGCTGTAAGCTCAATCACCTTGGTGTCTCCTCATTTGGCGATAAGGACTGAACAGTTAATTCAACAAAATCAAAAGGACCATAAGAGACACAATAATAAAGAATTGTGTGTCGGCAAACAAACCTTAAGGGCTTGTATCAAAAACCTGGACCTCCACTTATGATTAGCAGACAGTGTCTGGCCCGTGTTGCTCAGGCGGACTCCTCCCTCTTCCACACGATCACCATGTTCTTGTCACTTAGGGCCACCAGGAAGTGGAGCTCAGGGTCCATTGCTACGCTGTTGATGGAGGGGCCCTCCACCTGGCCGCGGTCCTTCCTCACTGGGGTCGGCCACTCCAACATCTGCCCAAACAAAGACCACGTTAGCGGGTCAGTGGTGAGCAAAGTTTATGAACACATGTCTGGCGAACACCAGATCCAAAGTTGCGATTCTTTTAGCAGATCTACACATCTAAGTATGCAACTGTTTTGGTTGTTTTTTATGAACCGCACTGAGGCAAATTCCTGACATCTGTATTGTCAGGTTAAAAAAGTGTCTTTTTAGTCATGGTAACGTGTTCCCAAATCAGCATTCAAAGTTGGTGAGCTTACTAGGAATACAATCAGTTTAGATTACTTTTTTTGCAAATCTACAACATATTCAGAAGGTTTTCCTGCAATACTGTGTGAAAGCAGAGTTTATAGTAAACAAGGCATTGAGAGGAGATGAGGACCTCAGTGGGGAGTATGGGCTTCCCCGTCTGGAGACTGTTTTTCTGCAGCTTGGAGATGTTGTATGTCCATAGCCTGCCTTTGTCATCACCACACACTACGTAGGCTTGGCCTTGGGGAGAGGGAATGAGCAAACACACACACACACACATTAGAATATCAGCATGACTTCCAACACAGAGCGTAAAACAGCTTAGTAAAAAGGTGAACAGTGTTCAAAATATACTTTTGTGTATACTAGGGCTGAAGCAAAGAAGGAAGGCAATGTAGAAAATACTAACTATATGAAGTTGCAGTGTTCATCAAATGTAAAAAATGGCTTAATTGAACTGTGGACAAACAGAAACAAACATAAATGAAAATAATTCTGTCATTATCAGAAAGCCTACGCTTTTACTTTGTGGTGAATTTTGTAGGCTTGACAAAGAAAAAAAGCAAACGCAGCATTACGGATCAGATGACCTGGGACTTACCTGGGCAGGTGTTGAGAGCCAGGTAGGGGATCTCAGTATTGGCCCACTGCAGCTCCGCCAGAACCACAGCACAAACGGTCCGGTCCTTCTTGCCGGGCCGCTGGGCCTTGGTCCCGCTCCAGCTCCACAAATAAATGGAGCAATGCATGTAGTTCTTGGAGGCTAGACGTCCATAGTAACAATAGGCGCAAAAGAGAGGAAAGATTTAGCAACATTTTTTATGTAGACCATAGAATCAAAATGCTAAATGCACTTTTTATCTTGATATGGTGCTGAAATGAAGAACCTGACTGACTGATTGAAAGTTAAAATGCATTCCAAGCAAGTGTGACTAGGTCAGTTCTACTTAACACATGGTTAGACGTAAAGACAGACATGAGGTCCTTTGAAAGTCACGGTTTTAAAGACAAAACTATAGTGACATCTAGTGGTGACAGCAGTGTACTGCGAGAGCCTCACTCACCCACTATGTCATCCGTAAGAAAACTAAGGCCATCGATGGTGTGGTAGTCATGGTCTTTGTCTTCCTTCTTATAGATGGGGAACGTTATCTCCATCTCTTTGGTCCTGGTGAGAAACAAAAATAATAAACACAAAATGCTACCGGCTGGTTCAGTGTACAGATTTATGGACGGAGGGTTTGTCACTGGCACTGCAAATGGTCCCTTTTTTTGGAAAATAGACACTAAACAGCAACATGAAGCCGATCATTGTGGCGCTTTCATTAGCCGTAAACATCACCCAGTCAACCTGTCAACCCGGCCTGGATGGTCCTCAAGTTTTTACCTCTTTGTGGTGTTGTTGTTGCCGCCGAGCCGCGTGTCGTAGCAGAGCAGGCCGTCCTCGCAGGCCGTCAGTAGGTGCGAGCTGGGGGAGGTGGGGGGCAGGCAGATGTGCAGAGGGGTGGTGCTGATGTCCAACACAAGCAGCTGACTGTGGGGACAAACACTAATACTTTAACAACCACAGTCTGGAAACAAACACGATCGTGCTGGTTTAGAAAACTAATCTAACGAGCAGTAGATCTGCTTTTAGACACACATCTTGATTCCTTAAAACAAAAACAAAACGTATAGACCGGAATTTGTGTAGCTAGATTTAAAAAGGGACTTTCCCATGGATACACACTCACACAACTTTGTAGTTGTACTGGCTGTCCACTCCTCCGATGTCCCACAACACAATCTTGTTATCGTATGAGCCAGCTGGGAGACAAAGAGCAGACGGGTGAGTGACGTTTTCAAACAAGGACAAAAAAGGAACAAGAGAACAAAGATGTTGAGCCTGAACGCAGGTTCCCCTTCAGAATATAACATATGGATCATTTTACAAGTGACCTAACTTTTCTGTTACGAATATAATAACTGCAATTTGACTCATTTTAGATGTTGTCTGAGAAATGTCGGAGGAAAGGCCTCATTTTAACCACAATGTGCATTTAATATTCTTCTAACTACTACTCAGAACAGGAGTTATTCTTTAATCTGTCTGATGAAGCCGGACCTCTAGACTGGGTGGCCGTCGGCCACACAGCGCTCACACTGCTAGTCGTTAATCTGTAACAAAGTGACCGTGGCTCACTGAACAGGAAGTTCCCCTGGTGGTGGTTGAAGCGGAGGACCGACAGCGCCTTGCGGCTGGCCCTGAACTCCCCGTAGGCCACGTTGTTTCTGGGGTGGATCAGTTTGACCAGTCCCCTCTTCCCACCAGCCGCCAGAACGCTGCAGTGTTGAGCCGAGGCCCCGCCTCCTCTGGACATCAGCACAGTGGACCAGGAGAGGGAGAAGAACTCCTGTTGTGGGTAAACGACAGATAAAACATATCCAAATGATTTAATTATATGAATACTAAATCTGTCCTGACCATTGTAATAATAAATCCTAAGTGCTTTAACGTTAGCAGAATGTCTCTAGTGGTACAGTGAATGTAGATGTGGGAATATACCATTAAGAAAAATGTTAGAAATCAGAAATAGAGCAAACCTCTCCAGGAACTTTGTACTTCTTCATCACTAAACCGGTTTCACAGTCAATAACACAGAGAGAGTCTCCACCACAGGTAGCAACCAAACGGCTCCCGCCTCCAGAACCTGTAAAAACAGGAAAAGGGGGGCGGTTTTAATCTCTATATTTCTCTGATTCCTCTGACTTTAACCACAGATTTAAAGACTTTCATTTGGATAAACAGCCTTGGGGACGCCCTGATAAAGATATCTGTTGAACTGTACCCGTGGAGTCTGGCAGCGGCTGGAAGGCACAGGCCCACAGCTGGGTGGAGAAGTCCTCCGAGCTGTCCTGTTTACTGTGGCACTGGAGGACGTGGAGAGGCTTCAGACGCACCGGCTGCCGGGGGAAGCGGAAGCGGAGTGGTGCATGTTGTTGAGAAAGCGATATTGGGTTGACTAGCGCGGCTAAAGAGTACACTTCATAGTCACGTATCTTGGTTAAAAGTGAGAGTCGTGTTACCGCACAAAATCAAAGTATCCCACGTGCATTACCGGAGTCCTGCTGCAGCTCTTTATCGAGGACAGCCAGTCAGCGTCCCTCCGCGGCTCCGCTCGATTCGGTTTTGTCTGAGCCCCGTCGTCGTCGTCGTCTTTGGCTTGTCGCGCTCTAGGTCCTCTCCTCGGCGCCTCCGCGGTCGGGGTGACGGGAGGCTGGCTTGCCTTGCGGGGGCTCACCCTGACGGCGGGGGCCTGGGTGAGCGCCTGCAGTTTGCGGCTCAGGCCCGATTTGCAGGGACTGACCGCGGCCGGGGAGGCCGGGAGATCCGAGCGCAGTTTCTTGCGAGGCGTCAGGCTTCTGTCGGTGTCAACGGATGTGTTTTGTTTCCTCTTCGTAGGCGTCAAGACCCTCTGGGGAAAGAAAGAAATAAAAGGGAAAAACAAAATGAGCTTCAAAGCAAATCATTCACACAACATCCTGCGCGTACAAGTTACTGTACGGTCTCAGAATCCCAATGGCAGACAGAACGTTGCAGCAGCTCATCCTCTGAAGTCTTACGCTGCTCTCTTTAGTGTCCGTGGACCTTTTGCACTCCGGTTCTTCCTTTGGTTCGGTCAGAGAGCGCAGATACTCCTTAGCGAGAACCTCCACCTAAAACCCAGAAGGACACAGAGAGACAATGAAAATGAAAAGAAGACCACACCAAAAAAAAAAAAAAAAGCACCGAAATGTCTCTAACATCAGGAACTCACCCTCCATTTGGTGAAGTCGCTGACTGAACTGGGTCCATATTTAACCTGTTGACGGGCAGTACTGACAAAGCTTTTCTCCAAGGCGGACAATTTCTCCGCCGTGACGGGATCCGGGAGAGAGAAGCTCTTCTCCCACACGGCAATGATCTAAAAAAAAAAGGGGGCGGGGGACATTGCTTATGCAATAAAACTGCGCCGGAATGGAAACATTCCGACCTAACCGCGTTAGTTTAGGTTTGTTTCACATCATCCTCAGCCTCTAATTCGCTGTCCCACTATAGAGGACACAGCGGGATTACTGGAACGACAGAAATCATTTCCTTACCCTGGTCCTCAGGTTCTCACTGTAGACAAAGCGCAAATGGTTGGCAGAGGTGCTGACATCTTTACCGTTGTAAATCCTCAGTTTGGGCAACAACACCATCAGCTTGTAATTATCACTAACCTGAGGGAGAGAAACAACATTATCAGTTCATATCCAAGAGCCACGGAGGTGTTTTTGAAAGGACATCGGGATTGATTTTGATCACCGGTCTCTCACAGAGCTCACAAACAGTCACACCTACAGGCAACAAGAGTGTCCAGTAAACACGATCTAAATGTCTTTCAGCCGCGGGGGGGGGGGGGGGGACCCACTCAGACACAATGAATATGCAAAGTGAATAGAGGAAACCAGACTGAAACTCCTTGCTGTGAGGTGATGACCACAAAGCATGCAGCTCAACGACAAAGTGTCTTCGAAAACAATCAACACATGCAACACAATTAGCCGGCTTGATTGGTCATTTTCCACCTGATGGGTGAAAGACTGGCTACTCAAAAGAGAACAATGGATCTTTTCACACTGCATTCAAGGAGCTCCATCAAATGAGCTTTTTGACGTTTAAGTTGCACCTCAAACAAAAGTTGTGTGAAAGATTCACAACGTAAATCCAGCCGTGGAAATGGTTTGGGAATGAACAACACACTGTGGTCCTTTCTACTAGCAAATAAACCCCATTCGCCACATCCTCACAGTGATATAAAGATTGTCCTCCATCTTCAGCTCCTGCAGACCGCTGAGAGGCTCCAGAGTGGTCACATCCTCCATCTGGTTGTCGCTGAGGTCCAGGTAGCAAAGCGCCGGCAGCTCCAGTGACTTTGGCAACGCCTGCAGGGAGTTCCCAGAGAGATCCCACCGCTCCAGGGACCGCAGGCGGGACAGCAGCCGCACAGGCAGGTCTTGGGTCTTCAGTCCCAGCCCGGATAAACTGAAAACAAAGAGAACCTCCTTTATTCTACTGATACCAATCCGGGATATCTGATTGTACATAAATAACAATTTAGGGGGAACGTGAAGTCCTTGAAATGCAATCCAGTGCTTCTCGCTCCACACTGAAGTCACCACACAACACAAAAGCTGCAGTCGCTTAAAAAAAAAAACAAAGCAAAAAAAACCTGCTTACTTCAGTGTCTTGATCTGCTCCAGTTTGTTGCTTTTTGGAGAGCCTTTCTCCAGTAACAGCTTCTCGGTTATTTTCTCCATCGCTTAGCTGCAGACAAGACCACGATTCCAGACTTGAGATGGGACAGTAAAGACTTTGTTCAGTGCCCTCTTCTTAAGTTAGGTTGAGGTCCGTCACACCTCTGACCACACCCAGCAAACACGATGCACCTATGGAGACACAGCGGGGAGCGCTAACCCCACCCGAGTGCCCCTCAACCTTCAGGAGTAGGGTTAGCCCTGTAGCCCCAGATTTCATAGTATTCTTTATATTTATTGCTTTTTGCTTTTCGACATTTATGTTCCTTTTTTAAACTCTTTCATTTGTAGGTTATCTTCCTGGTTTATTATCAGATTCTGATCTGATTTTCTTCAATGGGGACACATTCTGTGGAACTAATTCTTTATATCTTACATACTCGCCATGGACACAAAATCAATAGGGTTCAAATGTGGTAATTTTGTTGTCATCATTTGCTTAATTTCTTTACTCTACTGCAGGTAAGTGTAAAGGCGTTGCACCCACTGGGCTTGGTGGGGGGCATGTTTTGTATCTGGTTGGTGGTAGTTTTGAGGGTATTCTGGCTTTGGATATACTTAAAATTGGACTCACACCAACTAACGATAATGTTTTAGGGTTAATGGTCCACATACTTATATAAAAGTGAATAACTTAATTGAATTAGTACTTCACTACTTACACATAATCTCTGGGGAATGTATTTCCCGGATGGGAATCACTACACTAGTTTCCAACGTGTGTGACTTCAAAGTCTAAAATTAGAGTTACTTCGCAACATCACCGTTGAAAACACTAACGGTACATTTACTTAAGCAAAGTAAACATTAAAACAATCGCTTTGTTAATATTTATAGGTAAAATTACTTACAGACAGTTCACCAACTTGTCTTGAAGCAAATGAGCTTTCCCGGGGAAAATCTATGTACTTCCGGTAGGCGTGGCTTCCGCCGATTCACACGTCATTGTTTATTTTCCCCGAGCTGAGCCTGGAAGGCTCAATGTAGAAGCCCACAGCCCGGGTTGATGGAGGTATTCGGATCTCTTACTAGAGTAAAAGTAAAAACTGCAATACTAAAGTACAAGTCCTGAATTCAAAACCTCAATGAGTAAAAGTACAAACAAATCAGCTTCAGATTAAACAGAAGTAGCAAAAGTATCCATTATGTAGATTTTCATATTTCTAAATATGATTTTAACGTAAAGTGTTACTTAGGCTACTTTATATAATGCATGGAATACATAGACACCGCGTGTCGTTAGGTGGCGATGTTTACCTTATTTTAACAGGTTCGTCCCCTGCACATTAACAGAAGAAGAAAATTATGACGCAGGATGGGATCTCGGCTACTGATAGCGGTGTCGCTTTTTGTGCGTGTAAAGGCATCCGGCGGTGTCTCAAGTGTGACGTTTTAATGGGAAAGGACGTATTGGAGGCGAACGAACCAAAGGTAAATATCAAGGAGTGAAAACTGTATTTTACACGTTTTATCAGCAGGAAACGGACGCAGCTGCTGCGAGCGCCAGTCAATAATATCACTACGGAAGCCCTCACAGGACACGCTTCATCATCGTGCTCTGATCTCGCTATAACAAGACACTGTATTGTTATTATAACTCTACCTGAACTATATTATAACTTTACTGATTGGTTATTCTACAGGTTTAAATCATAAATATATTAAGCCCCTATTTTTAGTCTTTATCTATATTCATGTATGAAAACTATTTTATATCTATGTTTCAGTCTTTGGTCTTCTGAGTACTTCTCTGCTTGGCTGTCATGCACATGTCATTCAGTCAAATCGTACTTCATCATCAGAAAAGACAACATCAGGCGCGCTATGTCGCATTAATCCAGAGTATACCTAAAGTTATTATTGTTTTGTTTTCGTCGCACAAGATTGTGCATCATTTCCTCTACGATCCGGAGACGAGGCTGGCCAATCGCAAAGATGCCGAGGCCACGTCCTTCCCCTTTCCCGGTGTCTTCCTGCGGGAGAGCTTCATATCAGAGGAGGAGGAGGAAAAGCTGATCTGCACGATGGACCAGAATGTGTGGAATGAGTCTCAGTCTGGTCGAAGGAAACAGGTGATGTGGAACAATTGTGTTTTCTGAATTGTATCGGCCCGCATACAGAACGTGACCCATTAACATTTGTTGACTTTGCAATAGGTTTCCAGGGTCATGCCTCCCAATTACAACAGAACAAATGCCTTGGGACACAAGTTAAATAGTTTACAAGTAGCTTATATATTGGACATAGTGTCACAAATCTGCTGCTGGTTCAAGCCGGTAATTTTTCCGTATTACATTTTGTGTAATACATTGGCGAAATCTAAATGCCAACATTTTGGTTAATTTAACTTTATGTTCATCATCTATCAATGAATACAATAACCTTTACATAGTGTAGATTTGACACAATTTCCATTATTTTGTAGGGTCAAAGTATTTTATGGTTGTTTGATTTAGTTAGCTATGCACACCCACAGGTTGATTAGACATTATTTATAAATGTGTGACTATTTGGGATAATGGATCAAGTTTCACACAGCAACCTCATAGCTAAATCAAACTAGAGAAGTTCAACATTAAGTGGAGATGAAAAAATCTGCAAATCTCTATAGATTGTCCACATTAATACACTGTATTTGTTGGTGTTGTTCTGATGGAAAAAAAACAACACATATTTTCTCACATTTTTGCAGGACTTTGGTCCAAAGGTTAACTTCAAGAAAAGGAAAGTGCGTTTCGGTGGTTTCAGTGGACTCCCTGCTCTGAGCCAAAGGCTAGTGCTCAGAATGCAACAAGAGCCAAGTCTAGCTGACTTTCAGCCAGTGGAGCAGTGCAATCTGGATTACCATCCTCAGCGAGGCTCCGCCATCGATCCACACCTGGACGACTCCTGGCTGTGGGGGGAACGGCTCGTCACCATCAACATGTTATCCGACACCACCCTCACCATGTCCCTTGAGCAGGGTCTACCGGAGTTGGGACTAGCAGAGGAAGTCCAGGTGGCCGTTTGTCTTCCTCGCAGGTCTTTAGTGATGTTACACGGCGAGGCGCGGCACAGGTGGAAGCACGCCATTCGTAGGGACGATGTTCGGGGCCGCAGAGTTTGCAGCACCTACAGAGAGCTGTCTGCTGAGTTTCTGCCCGGAGGGCAGCAGGCAGAGCTCGGAGCTCAGCTGATGAACATTTCTCTGAGCTTTGCAGGAACTCCGATATAAGATCATCTACGGAAAAACAGACATTTAAGTGACTTGATCAATTCAGACACATATTTTTAGCAATTATATGTTGTTTTTCACTAAGGGTGGGAAATGCTGCTAAAATTCCCTGACGCATAGTTATTGGAAAATGGGTAATGGAATTTAAACAAAACAACAAAAGCCACAGAAGTGAATCAAAAATGCTGTTAATGATTTTGAAAAAGTTTGAATTGGTTTCTTCATGTATTAATGGTTGCTTGCTAGCCATTTATCAAATTCCTTAATTTTAGAGAAAAGACCAGCTGTTTCCATATTTTCTGCAGACCTCAGGCTTTTCAACTCTACATTTTAAGAAGAAAGAAACAAGCATTTGGGTGCTTACAGTTCCTGCAGTGGTGACTGGAACTGGGCTGTCACAGATTCCGTCCCAACCCACAGCAGCTGCGCATCTGGTGTGGCGTTCACGCGAAAGAATCATAAAGATTGTGAAGCGCTGTTTATGTGCAGTTCTCCATATCCCTGCTGTTCTGCTGCAGCTTACATGACCAACCACACCTTTTAGAAAGGATCATATTAGTATAGTGGTTTTATGATTCAGCTCATTTACTACCTATATTGTAAACTGGCTGCTTTTCAAGTCCTGTTATACTTGTTGATGTATTTAACTCCCACACTGTCATTGAAATACCTTTTGGTTTAAAATAAAAGTCCCAATAGTAAAACCACTCAGAATGCAGAATGGCCCATTTTACAACAATGTATATTATAATATAGAATAGTGTTTTATTGATGTGTAAGTATGTTGCAGTTGAAAAAAGTAGAACTGATGTTTAGTTACTCAATGTATAATGATTTATATATATTTGTTTGTGTGTGTGTATATATATATATATATATATATATATATATATATATATATATATATATATATATTAATAATAATCAAACTGCAGGGTAGCTAGCTCGTGCAATTGTCCAAAGTGGAGAAAGTCTTGCTTTGTTGCAAGTAAAGGTCCTGGATTCAAAATGAGTGAATTTATACTTAAGAGTGTCAAAACAGTAAAAGTACTCTAGCAGAACGGCCCATGTAAGATTACATTACATTACGTGAGATCTGGTCCACCACTGTCCAGCTTAATATGTAATTATAGCAGCAAGGTATTTCCACCTAAAAGATTAATCATTAAGAAACACAAAACGGTGCAATTACCTCAACATTCTTTGCCAAGTAAAGTGTTCAAGTTCTTCAAACATCACTGGTTGTAAATGCTGTTCCATGTTTTGCATTGCAGTATCCTGAGATAGCAGTACTGAAAAAAAAAAAGAAAGTCTGCTGCATTTTCCATCGCAGCTCTGCACGTTCATTGGCCAGCCCATTTTATTTTGAAGGCTGCGGCCGGATGTCCGTGTTTAGCGGCTGCCGTGACGTTGGCTGCAGCTGCACAAGCTGTCTGTTGATCGCTTATGTGGCTTATTAACACCCCGAGTTTATTATAAGCCGGGTGGATTTCTCGAGGGTGGGGGGGGGTGACGACTTAAACTGCTGTCACCGAGAAGAGATAGCCGGGAGTCTGACGGCAGACACTTTTGACCCGACGGGCATGTCGTAAGCTTTTATTCGGCGGCTGACTTAAACTGAGAATAGGCTTTTCAAATGTAGCATGCTAGCTAGCAAGTTGCGTCGCGTACAGCGTAGCACACACAGCCGTTTTGTTCTGCTCCCGGAACAGCCTCTGCATGACAAATGACCACAAGTGGGACGCGTAGGTAGGTGGCAAGACGTTTTCGTTAGAAGAAGGTGAAAAAAACAACAAACAAAAAACGTGTCGAGAGTAAGTCGCTGGTTGGCTACCCTGAGCCCCCGGGGCTAACCCCCGGTCGCCGACCGAATTAATGGCCGGAAATCCGAGGAGGGGCGCCGGTCTCATCGGCTTGATGAAGGACGCCTTTCAGCCCCACCAGCAGCCTCTGCAGCCTCACCAGCCCGCAGTGGTCGATAAGAAAATGGTGGAGAAATGCTGGAAACTCATGGATAAGGTACTGGTACTGTGTGGTTGCGAAAACATCGGACAAGAGAGAAAAAAATAACCATCCCACATGAAACGAGGAACTGAAAGAAGGAGTCACTTGACTTTTTTTTTTTTTTTTCAGTTACAAATAGGGTTAGTTAGCTTCCTCCTTTTTTATCTTCAGTCTGGGCAACACATGTATTCCTATTCACGTGCTTATTAACTAACCCTAAACAGACTCGTATCCAGGACCTATTGTCCAACTGTCAATGTTCAATAAACACAATTTAGAGGTAACGTCAGAGATTGTGGAGATTATTTGTGGGTTTGTCTACATGGGTCTGTATTGGAAGATCAAACCCTTTTTAACATGGGAGGATGACTGATGCATTATCTAATTGGGATGATACCTAGTGAATGAGGTTACAGTGATGACAATCTGTGGACACAGTCCATGGATCTCCGGAGGAGGACAGTTTGTCTGTTACTCGATTTAAAAGCGGTGTGTTTTGTGTTGATCAGTTCTTTGATTCGTATTGCCGGCTGTCAGTCCCGCTCATCTTTTTCCACAATCTTAACTAAGCTACTCAGGAGAGAAGAAAAGGCAGAGAGGGATGAAGAGACAGGCGATTTAATTCAGGGCGGCCGGAGCGAGAAAAGCGACATAGATGGAGTACAATACAGCATTTGCATGGCCGTTGTGCACAGACGTGGATGTGCCTTCCACTACACGCAGCATGATGTGTTTTTGTGTCACATGGCACCGACTGATCCGTTTTGCTGTTGAAGGTTTAGGATTTTCTAAAACTTCCAGTCATATGCTTCCACTTAGTACTCAGGGATAATAGACTATTGCGCTAGTGTGTATTGCATTGTAGTGGAATTGTATTGTGGCAAAATGTGATGAGCTGTGTTTGAGAGTGGAACAGATAGTTGTGGTGAACATCAGTTTAATGACATTTCTCACATAAAAGCATATCAAGGTGTGTATTGTTCTCATCATCTTTCCATTTCAACCACATCTCCCGACGTAGGAAGTAAACGTTTGATTCGAGTGTCATGTTGCAAAGTCATCACTAACACAGGCTCATCCTTCCTGTTTTCTCATTTATTTATCAAGGCGTACTTTACGCTGCTGCTTCCTTCCTGCCCAAGGCAAAGCCGGTATTTAATTACTTTAAACATCTTCAGTTTCAAAAGTCCCCGGTCAATGACAAACATAAGGACAACATTTTGTCAGAGCCTGTAAGGGGAGCAGGTATGATTCCAACCAGCAAAACCGTCTAAATGAGCGATTATTTATTTATTTTTTGATAAATTGTGAGCCTATCCACCATTACCCCCCTTTCAATGTGTGCGCGTGTGTGTGTGCTGTCCAGGTGGTGCGCTTGTGCCAGAACCCAAAGGTGGCGCTGAAGAACAGCCCGCCCTACATCCTGGACCTGCTGCCGGACACCTACCAGCACCTCCGCACCGTCCTGTCGCGGTACGAGGGCAAGATGGAGATCCTCGGGGAGAACGAGTATTTCCGCGTGGTCATGGAGAACTTGACCAACAAGACGAAGCAGACCATGAGCCTTTTTAAGGAGGCCAAGGAGAGGATGTTTGAGGAGAACTCCCAGCCCAGGTTGGCTTATATCCTGATGAAATATCATTCATCCTTTTGAGTTGAGTGTTTAAATTGGCGGTGTATTCATGAAATGGGCCCTGAAGGTCAGGATGGTATAAACGTGCCCAACTAGCCGGACTCCTGCTGACTGATGCTACCTATTTCTCATCTAAAAAGTTTATTCATTACACATTACATGGCTCTACGGTTTAAATTGCCCTTTGAAAAATATAAGCGAGTTTCTGTTGCGGTGTTGTTCCTGCTAGATTGATTCAGATGGCTGTGGCCTCGTTTCGAAACGGCTTTTAATCTTTTCCGTTGATAAGATCACTTTCTCCACGCTTCGTTTTTGTTCTTTCCATCACCGTGATGAAATCCACCATGTGTCATTAGGCAGAAGCAGAGCCGCCATGTTGGCCCAAGTAAAAAAAAAAATCCGCCAAATTTAGCATGAACGCCTGATTAAACTGTCGCAATCAGATCCACTTCCCTTTCTCAGAAAGCCATTACTAAGAGAAAGTTTGTCCGTCCTCTGACTCTTTTTAGATTTTTTTTGATGAAGCATTTCCTCCTAAATGCTTTGCAAGAACAACAGTTGGAACAGTCACAGTAGAGTCCTGTCTACAGACTTATCTTACTTCCTGTTCTCCCCACTCGACAGGTGTAATCTCCAACCATGGAAAATGATTCTTAAAGAGAAAAGAGTGGACTCATTACATGAAACTTTGTTTTACAAATGGTGATGTTTGAACGTTTTTAAAAGTGGAGAACGTGGAATATTTGTGCAGAAGCTTTTACCGCAATAAAGCTGAACCATATGTGTACGCTGAATTATGTGAAAGTTGTGTGTGACTAAGAGGCGTTTCAGAGGGAGTGGGTAGAATAATAAGACTGTTAGTACGTGATTCGCCTTGTTTAGTAATTGATAAGCTCAATTTGACACGTTTTGTCTTGTGATACGAGTTCTAGGACCGATTATTCTGATAATATCCCTCGCTCACTTCGCTTTTTTGTTGTGCTCTCTTCTCAGGCGGAACCTTACCAAGCTGTCGCTGATCTTCAGTCACATGCTCGCAGAGCTGAAAGCCATCTTCCCCAATGGCCTATTTCAGGGGGACAACTTCAGGATCACCAAAGCTGATGCTGCCGAATTTTGGAGAAGGTCATTCGGAGACAAGTGAGTTGTTGTTTTTTTGGCTTTCGGTTTGCGTTAGATTCCTACCAACCCGTTAACTTTTTAAACCACGGTCCTGCTTCCCTCCACTGTGCCGAAGGACCATCGTGCCGTGGAGGACATTTCGCCAAGCTCTCCACGAGTTTCACCCCATCAGCTCGGGCCTGGAGGCCATGGCTCTCAAGTCCACCATCGACCTCACGTGCAACGACTACATCTCCGTCTTTGAGTTCGACATCTTCACCCGGCTCTTCCAGGTAAGACTCCCGACAACAGAACCGTTGGGCGTCGTTGCGGCACCGGCGGATCCGTATACTTATTCAGTGGAGCATCACAACGTCAAATATTTCAACGTTGTCCCTCAGAGTTCAGACGCTGTTTACTGTAGATACTTGGTCCATCGCTGATTGTCTTGTCAATCAGGAAAACATTAACAGTCCTTGATTTTTTTTAAAGGTTTGAGTTCAACCAAAAGGAAGGAAGCGTGTGTCTCATACAGGTCTGACATAGGAGCTCATTAGCGACCGTAGACGATTATTGATCATTGATTGGGGCATTGTTATATTATGGAAATTGTATTTGTATTAATCAATTAAACAGGGCCTGTATACCTCTATTGAAGGGGGGGGGGGGAACTAAAATTATGTTTGCATTTGATGTCCAGCAAAACCCTCCTTGTGTGTTGTTGAGTTCTGACAAATAATTTTTTTTAAACGGCTTATTTAAATCTTCTTGTTCTCAGTGTTTGCTGGCACAATGCTGCGGTCCTTGGCACGTTGGCGCCCCTTCATTAAGGGGAATAATTTGAACGCGGGCATGGGTTTTGATTGTCGCATGCCGCAGGAGTTTACATAACCGGACTGACTCACAGTTTCTTGGTAGCTCAGCTAATGGTCAAAAGTTCCACAGGCTACCTTGAATGATTAAAAAGGTACAATACGTAATCCTTCTGCAAAAGAAAGGACAAAACACACAGAGTATAAGACCCATAGCAGGGTAGATCTGACTATTACTACATGTGTGTATTCCACTGAGGTAACGAGTCGGAGTGCATGACGCCATGGAGCCGAATCCTCTCCGCTGAACACGGTGGTGTGAGGCAGACTTGGGATGAAGCAATTATCAGCGAAGCATAAGATGACTCAATGCGTTAAGGAGGCTTTTCTTTCCTATGGGGCCGTAACAAATGGTTTGGAATTAATGTTGGCATTAAAATTTGATAAAGGTAAAGACCACAGTAATGTTATTAGGATTCCACTGTTAACTGAGTCGTGTGATCCAAACATTTCAGGTGCTTTCAAAGCACACGGGTCAAATCTATTGTTATTCATTTTCAAAACCGGTTTATCTTCACCCATGCGTGACTGCTTCCCGAGACGTGTTGTTGTCATGTACTTACAGTCACGCACCCTCTTGCCTCGGGAGCGACGCTACGGTAACTTTAATGGCTGATTATCGGATCTTAAAGTAAGCGCTCCTTGTTTTTGATTTGGTAAGTCTACTTTACAGTGCTACGGTTTCAGCTGAAAGGATACGGCTAAAAATGTTCATACCACCACATTTTCTCCAAAGGGATAAATACATATTTTCTATTCTATAAAATACATCTACGCTACGGATTATTGAAATGGAATACACAAGTGTAATTAGTCAAAAGTCAAATCCACTGGTGTCCCGCTGTTCTTCCTGCATTTTGAATCAGCCACAGGCTTTCTTTTAGCCTAAATTATAGTTTAAATCAAGTAAATTAACCCATTTGTTTTATTGTAACAAAATGATCAGTTAAAAGGAACAACACTAAACCAAACCCATCCTCCACAACTCGCCTGACAAACTCTTTGGTCTTTTCAAAACTTCCATTTCTTGCATTTGTAATTGCTAGTTTGTCCAAATGGTCTTTGTTTATGCACAAATTGTTAAATAATGGGTTTAAAAAATGAATAAAAGTCTCAAACAGTTGAAATTGGTCCAAACTCATCATTAACTTAACAATTATTGTGTGTGTGTTTTGTAGCCATGGTCGTCACTTCTAAGGAACTGGAACAGCCTGGCGGTCACACACCCGGGTTACATGGCCTTCCTCACCTACGACGAGGTCAAGGCCCGACTGCACAGGTTCATCCACAAACCGGGCAGGTGAGACACAAACAAGCCTTTTTTAAGACATGACTGACTTACAGACTTTGCTGAGCCTACATTGTGTAGATCAAAAGTCAAGTACAGCTTACTGCATTCAAACAGCTGCGACTAAACACTGCCGGTACGCGTTTATTTGAGATTGTTGTCCTCTCTCTCTCTCTGGCTCTCAGCTACATCTTCAGGCTGAGCTGCACTCGGCTCGGCCAGTGGGCCATCGGCTACGTGACAGCTGATGGGAACATCCTGCAGACCATCCCCCATAACAAACCCCTCTTCCAAGCCCTCATTGATGGATACAGAGAGGGATTGTGAGTCTCAATACAACACCATGTCATGGCACCAATTTAGACATTAGCTGTTAGCGTAAAGTGTTGCGGTTTAAATGGCTCCAGGGATGAGAAAACAGATTAGATGTTGCCATAATGACTCAGTAGCTCTAAAATTATTAAAAGCATTGATAAGACTTTCATCAAAACTAAACTAATTAAAACATCACCACTCCGCTGAGACAGGGTTTCTGTCCATCAATAAAAATGGGGGATAGGGAAACCTCCCTCTTTGATGAATGAACGGAGCATTACCAATTGTTATTACTGTGTGTGTTTGTGGCGGATCTCTAGCTACCTGTTCCCAGATGGCCGAGCACAGAACCCGGACCTAACAGGGCTGTGTGAACCTTCTCCACAGGACCACATCAAAGTTACTCAGGTTTGTCACAGTTGGTTTCTCGTGTTGTCTCGTCTTGTCACCAATCTTCATTACTGTAGCCATGCAGCATGCACAGAAAAAATATTTTTAGAAATTATCAAGCTTTCCTACCCACAGTTTAAATACCCATCACCACTCTGCTAAGATGGGGTTTCTGGGTTTCAGGGATCTTCCTTTTTTTTTCTTCTTTTTTTGTACAAAGTGCAGTAGTCTGCGAAATATCCTCCATAATGCACTGCAATGCATTTGTCCAATAACAATGAAGGAATGCAGCACGTTTGGTGAAGAAGGGTTTCACCAGTAGGTGTTCACAACTACGATCTTCAATGTCAACAACCTGTGTGCCTTCCTCTTTTGTCCCTGCAGGAGCAGTATGAGCTTTACTGCGAGATGGGCTCCACGTTCCAGCTCTGCAAGATCTGTGCGGAGAACGACAAAGATGTGAAGATTGAGCCCTGCAGACATCTGATGTGCACTTCCTGTCTAACGGCGTGGCAGGTGAGGCTGGGAGGCTCTGTAAATTCTGTCGGTCTGAAAGCTGAGAACATCCTTTCATTTTTCTGTACTCTCACTGCAAATTAATTTTGGCCCCAAATATTGCCTGGCAGCCAAATATCACCATAAAAAGAATGTTGTTTTAAAGTGGGGGTTCAAAAATGCTCAAACGTTCTCCTTGTTTTCAGTACAAGCTCTTTTCAAGAGAAGCACTGTTTAAAAACGTAGTCTTTACCAACAGTCCTCTTTGCTTCGGTTGCCTTTTAAGCTGCCGTCAGCGAAGCTCACCACTTCCTGCACACCAGTTTCACAATAAAAGCATCCCTCAAAAAAAAGAAAATCTAATTCCATTTGAAGTGTGGAGCTCAATTGTTTCACTCCAGCAGGTGGAACTAATTTGCTGTTAAACAAGTACTATATGATTGTTGCTGGATATACATTTAACAAAGATAAAACTCCCCGCTGTTACTAATTATAGAGACGCTTATCTGCTTTGAGCAAACATTAATGTCTCGTATCTAAGATCTCACTCTGCTTCCTCATACTTTAAACTGTGCTTCCTTTGTGTGTGCGGCAGGAGTCGGAGGGCCAGGGCTGCCCATTCTGCCGCTGTGAGATCAAAGGTACAGAGCCCATCGTGGTGGACCCGTTCCACCCGAAGGCCAGCGGCGCTTCCTTTGCTGGTTTTCAGGGTTCCAGCAGAGCGGAGGCCGCCGCCAATGACGAGGAGGAGGACGATCGCCTGGAGGACCACCTAGTCATGAGCAGGCTGGCCTGCACCAAGGTCAGAGGATCACATCCATATGTTATGATCCACAGATCCCCAAGCAGCATTCAATGGAACGGTCTTTATTTACATGTTTAGATGGTCCTAACTTGCTCTCTAAATGTACATGTGTGTGCAGGTGGAGCGCCCACCCTCTCCCGTGTCTCAGCTGCCTCCAGTGCCCCCCAGACTGGACCTGCTGCAGCAGAGACCCTCCAACTCCCACATCCCACAAACTCAGGGAGCCACATCCAAGGTGTGTGTTTGTGTGAGAGAGTGAGCACGCACCCTGGAAGAGCAACCGAGTGTTGACCAGAGTGTGATCTACTGCCAGTCGATAACTCCGCCCCCACCTCCCACTGCAGATGGCAGCCACCCACAGAGACAAGCCTCTACCTCTGCCTCCCGCCCTGAGAGAGCTGCCCCCTCCTCCCCCTCCCGAGCGCCCCTCCCTGGTTGGCCAGGACTGCAGACTCCAGAGGAGGCCGCTGCCGTCAACCCCCGACCAGGCGTCCTGGGCCTCCAACTACATGGTGCCGCGTCCAGCCACCAAGGCCCCGTCTGCCCTGTGCGCTGCGCCTCCGAACAGCGCAGCCAGTGGGGAGGGAAGCAAACCCCAGGCAGCCACCAACGTGGTCTACTGCCTGGCTGCAAGGTACTGAGCCCCGCCGCAGGGAGGTGCTGCTGCTGCTGCTGCCTTATCGACTAAGGACAAAAGCATGTCTGCATTTAAAGTCCGATCCAGTAGCGTGAGACCTTGTTTAGTACAAAGCCTGATGTGTCCGCTGTTGTCAGACAAGGAAATGTACCATGATTGGACTTTTAAATTCACGGTTCTGGAATGTAGGAAACCTTTTACATGAAAAAAAAGAACTATGCCTCTTCTTACCGTACAAAATGTGTAAAAATAAATAAATATTAAAGGTATTACCTGCTCTGCAGAATACAACGTCGTTATGGATGTGTATATAACTGCAGGTTGTTGTACGTTTTGAATCTCACCACACTTCGTGTCGTCCGTATTCGATCAGATCTCTGCCGGCGGCGGCCAGCGTGGAGCAGCCTTCCTCGGACTGTGAGGAGAATGAGTACATGAGTCCCACCTCTCTTCCAGCTGCCGGTGGCCCTTGGGCAATAACGGGCTCCTTGGTGCCCCCACCGCCGGTGCAGGCCAACCACCACAATGACGTCAGGTAAACGGGTGGATCAGGAGCAGCCGTTTGGTCCACCAGAGGGCTCTGCAGCCTTAATGTTCTGCCCATGGAGAACCTTCTCCTAGACCCACAAACGCCTCCCTTCACCAATTCACTGTGTCTCCCGTCTTCTTTGTTTTAAATAAATGAAAGGAGCTGATGAAAATGCAGCGATTTTCAAACATTGATGAAGTGATGAAAGAGTCAGAGACTTTGGGAGGAATGAAAAGAAACCAGTGAGCCGTGTGTTCCCGTTTGAGGCTAAAGCAGTTTAATTGGTGTCATTACTCTCTTCGTAGTATTCATGATGTCTGTGAGGCACATGTGATGTAAAGTAGTGTTGCTTTCATTCTCAGCACCGAGGTGGCTGACGGTGACTCCGAGGAGCCCATCGTCTACGAGTCCATGTGCAACATCCAGGCGCAGGCGGGTTCCTGTGAGGCGCCGCCGCCCTCCGAACCGGGTAACCTTCACTTTGCTCTTAAACCAGCACCAACAAAGATGTACTCGTGTGTCTTAAACATCATGGCTAGAATATCGGTGAATAAAGCAGGAAGTACTTGATAAAGCCTCAACACACACGCAATATTTGTTTATTTCACATTACCTTTCCTCCAGGCGCCGTGTTTTGTATTTTTGACTTTGTTGTTTTTCAGACCCACCTCAACATCCGGCCGCGCCTCCCCGGGACAAGAAGGAGGAGGCGATTGAGGAGGACATCTACGAGTACGACTGTCCCAGACCAATTCTCCCTCCCGCCCCCACCAGAAGGACTTTGTCGGATGTGGCCGGCCCCTCGGCGGCCTTCAGCAATCTCAGCATTGACGGTGCAGCCGACGACGGTATGTATTTCTAAAAATGATGTCGCTTTTTATCCGCCCCTTTTTAAGGTGCGATGCCAGTGTCTGGCCGCTGAGGTAGAACATATTTTGAATTGTTATTTAAAGCTTGGTCCCCCCCCCCCTACTCCCCCTATATTTTCCCAGGGATGTTTGCAGCAGCGGCCGAGCCCGAACGGCCCCCCAAACCTCTCCCGCGACGAGCCAACTCGGACCGGCGAGCTCGGCCCGTCAACCGTGAATTGCCCGCTCCGCTGCCGGAGCTCCCCAGCCCCTCCTCCGCCTCTTCCTCCTCTCCTCCTCCTCCTCCCCCCCCTACTCCTACGCCTCCCCCCGGGAAGCCAGACCTTAAACGGGGAGATTGAATGCCTGGGTTTCTCAGGGCTACTCCATTCAGGGACATCCACAAAGCAACTGATGATCGCCCAGAACAACCTGGAAGACGGCCAAAGAACATCCTGCGCGAGTTCGTCTCCATCTAACACATAGAGAAACACCTCCGCGCACTGACCTGACCCCCCTCCTCTGGTCACCTGTCTACAGGTTGGACACTATGTTGGAAAGCCATATACGAAGCACTCTTCCTGCTCGGCCACAATACCTCGAGGCGGGGCAAGAAGCTGGGTTGGATGTTTATTTCAGCCAGGGGACGTCCCGGGAGGTTTTCGGTTTCTGAAGCATCCAAATTCACAGAGAATTCGTAGGGAAAGCCGTAGGGGAATTCCAGAGGGCATCCCTTTTTTTTCTAAGAGAAGTTTCCCTCAAAATATATTATTTTTATTCTTTTGTCCCCACGGTTGGTCGGCGGATTTCAACCGTTGAGCCATGGAACACCATAAATCTCTGGTTTCAGTGGAAGTTTTCTTGATGAAAGTCCGCGTGGGTTGGTTCAAAATGCCCGTTAGTCAGCTAACAGAAAAGGAGAAAGCCTTTTAATGGTAATTTTCTGGACAAAAGTTTACCCCCCATTGGACCCCCCCCCCCCCCCCCCGCCTCCCCCCCACCGGCCCCCCTCGGGCCCCGACTACCTTCTCATTCAGTGTTGAAGTTACAGGGGCCGGTAGAAGGACCCGGTTCACCGTTGTCTTTTTACGGCTATTCGGCATATTTGTGGCGTGCGAGTACATGTAGCGTCGCTAGTTCTGTCGGGAAAAATTTGTGATTAACTTTGTGGCGTGTGTGTGTGTGTTTGTGCGCGCGCTCAATGCTGATGAATGTGAACGCTCCGGCGCGGCGCTGCAGCGCTTGGATTCGTACGCGTCGCTGTGGCCTCGCTCCGTTTTTTGTTTTGTTTTTCCGATGGTATTTGACACGTTGGACTTTATTCCATATTTGCTTTCGGCTCAATGAAGATTTAATGTTCCTCTCATGGGTTGTTGTGCTGAGTGTAGTACTGACTGACTGACTGGATTCTCTGAAGTTTAGTTTGTCATTTCATTCCATGAATGCAGCCCCCTCCCAGGTGGTCTGACACCGACGGTCGGTCTACTTACTATGACGCTTCTCATTAATAAGAAAAAGGACTTTACAGGGATGGTGCAGATTGTTTGCGGTGGGGTTGTGCGAGGTACTTTTCCATAATAGGTTCACTACTTACAGCAGATTGGGAGAGAAACGTACACGAGTACTGAGGACGGTCGGCAGCAAAAAACTATTTTAACCACCTAAATCTGTTCTAAATGCTTTCCTTAGAGCTACCAGACTCCATTGATAAGAACACCCATTTTATCTTGATCTTGCTTGTCCACCGCTGCTTTCATTGGTTAGATTGTTTGTGTTCTGGCGTGACTTTTGTAAATCCAAATCAACCCTTTAAAACACCAAAGTCCCTTAACAACACAAAGCAACCTCCCGGTGGAGGCAGCGTGTGGATGTGATTTAAGCTCCCGATATGTACGCAGGCGAAGGGATGTCCGCAGGCGCCCGTAACGGGGGTCCTCGCTCCTCGGTTTGAATGTACGCACGGATGCTGCAGCAAACATCACGTGACGCCGACGTTGTTACAGAAACGCTCCATGGATCGGATTTCCCTGCGTGTTGTCGCCTCACCTGCGTTGGATCTCCAAATCGCTTTTGCTAGCATCAGTTAATGTTAATTGACAGAAAATGTATCTGCAATTATTTTTGATGACTGAAGATATCAAAAAGTCCCGCATCTCAAGTTGAAAGATTCTGCTCTTTGGTTTTGTCTTACGTGATAGCGACTTGATTTTTTGGGAGATTTCAAGGTTTTGTTAAGCTCAGTTTGAGACCCTGACTTGGGCTTTAGGACATTTTAAGAGTCATTTTTCACGAAACATCGACGTCCTTTGGACCTAAAAATGAACCATGGAAGTGATCTGCAAATGAATTGATCAGTCGTCGTTGTGTTGCTCTGCCTGTGAATAAAGAGCAGATTCCGAGTCGTGCTGCAATCAGCAGAAGACTATTTTTTAAGTCATCCGTTGGACTAGATCTCTGAATTGTCCCGTAATATTAAGACCACGTGAACTCAAAGTAGTTCCCTGAAGTTGTGGACCACTCAGGTTTGGGGATTTCTTTCCAGCGGACCAATAATGGGCAGCTCTCACTGCCAGAAACAAGACGACGAGTCCATGTTCCCATTTCAAACTCTGACGATCGAGTACAGTTTAAAAAAATAAATCGATATTCAGCGGTCGCTTTTGATTTCTGCAACTTTAATGTGCCTTCTGTCAATCGCAACCTGCACATGCCAGCAGCAGACGAACCAAAACAAATGAAATCTACACCGTTTCTCCTTTTAGTTGGAGCTTTTTTTTTTGTCACATTTATTCACATTCAGTCAGTCTGTATGCGCGCTGTATTCATCACAGTAAACGCACAATAAATGAAGCGCTTGTATACTCGGATTTCTCGCCCTCCGGAGGTACTAGTTACTATTTCTAATACAAACTGTCATAACAGAACGCAGAATTTCTTTATTTTTTATGAATGCATAATGCAACCGTACGTTGCTGTTTCTGTATCACAGACTTCAAAGTCGATACTAATGTTGGCAGTTGGAACCACAAAGGACTGCTGCTGCAAAGATCCCCCCCCCCCAACCCCTTCCAAAACAAAAAAAAAATCTACCATATTTTGGACCCATTCTGGTCACATGATCACTTTTCTTTGTGCTGCGATATTTGCACCTCTGCTGCTGCTGTGTGCAGCGATAACTTCTTTAGTTCAGAGAATTTACATCCGTTTTTTTTATTCCAGACTCTTCAACGTGCATGTGATTAAGTCACTAACAGAATAGTAGAGAAATAGAAGAGAAATGCCTTGTGTGTTGCAAAAAATATATTTTTGCAGTAGTAGCTTATTAATAATACATTTATCTAACAGCTCATGAAATTTCTCTCACATGTTAGAACATTAGCTGCTTTTAACAATGAGGAGCATCGCTGTCAGTGATCAGATGAAAACCAGATTTTGTGGCTTCTTCGACTTCTAGGTGGTTCTGGCACATTCGTCAGACTGCAGATTTAAATTGCATACCTTTTTCTCCTAAAAATACATTTTGAACTACGTGGACGTGGCTGTAGAATCCAGTCAGGACACAGAAGTATGCTTTGAGTAACTTGAGAAATGTACTCTCCATTGACTTAAAACAATGAGGCAAAAATTAATTAAGTTTTACCAGCAGAAACTGCACATTGACCCCACCCCCCTCCCTTTCCCGCCCGTGCGGCTGAGTTTGGGGAATCCGATGTCTGTCTGGCAGGTTTAATTTGGCAAACCTCAAACCCATTAAATGAAGCAGCGTTTCCGGAGAATGTGTGGTCAGTCCCCGAAATGGACCAACTCCACCACGAAAGAGCCGCTGTGTGAGGACACGCCCTGCTGTCACACACACACACACACACACACACACACACTCCCCTCGGTCACTGGTCATAGCTGCTGGTGAGTGTGTGGCGTTGTCATGGTAACTAACATTTTCAACAAGAACTTGCCTACTAAAAGTTGTCTTTATTGTTTTGTATTTGCCTTTTGTAAATATGATTTTATTTATTGTCTTTAATATCCTCAGCATTTGTTGTGTTGCCATGTTTCATGCCTAAGCCATTAAGATTTTTAATTAAACAGTATTTTCTTTAACATTTGATCTGCGTGTTTTTTTTCCGTAATAACAACAGTCTTTTAGGACACATTATTTTCACTGCTCTTCTCGAGGCTGTGAAATAAGAGGCCGTCTAAACTGAGCCCACGGTGACTCACTATTGTTCGAAAAAACTAAAGATGCATCTTTGTTTTTCCAGAGAAATTAAAAAGTAACACTTTTAACCCAAACCTTTTTATGTGGCATTATTTTCTTGCAAAAAAATAAAAATAAAAAAATGCAAGCATCAAAGAATTCAGATGTACAGCACTTAATTTACACACTTAAAAAAAAATTGAACAATGGAATATTCCGCTTCCAATGTGTTTTCTGAAAATCCCCCAAATGTTGTATTGAACTGAGAAGACGAGGGTGCAGATTTACGGTTGGTGTTGGTGCTTTGTGCAGCTTCTCTAAAGCATGATGAGCGAATCACGCTGCACACCAGAACACTTCCTGTACGAAGACATTTCTACAACGTACACACCTCAACTCGGTGGAAACAAAAAAACATTTCTTTGTTAACTTTGCAAGTCATCTGGGCAAAATGCACAAAAACGCAGAGAGCAAACAGTACGTTGTATTTACAGCACGGGCCCCAAAGACGCTCATCAGTGTTGTTGCATGTTTCAGTGGATTTACTATAAATAAGGTAGACTGATTCTTTTACTGTAAAAAGACAAAATGTAATCATTCTTTTCCAAGAGAGAAAGAAGAGTGGAATTGACATGATGTTGCTAAATTTGTATAATACAAAAAATACATGTTAACCTATTGTGTGTAGGAATGTGGAGTGCTGGAAAATCGCTTAAAACTTTTAATTTTTGAAACATTTTTTTGATGGTTTTCCAATTTTTTTTTTCAAATCATTTTTATGAAAACTTGTGTTTATTTTGTGAGGTCTAAGGCAACATCTTCAAAACAAGAATCAACTTCTGTTTCTAAACAAAAACCTTGAATGTCATGATAATAAATGGGAAAACTACACAGAGCTGCAGATTTCTAACCTTCCCCAGATATTCATTCAGTTCACGTATTTAAAAAAAAAAAAAAACACCGTAACTTGCGGAATGATTTCGGTAAGCCATCACAGAGAACACTTGTCTGCTTTTACCGTTGTTAAAGATTCATGATGGCTTCATGAATTATGCAGCGCAGACTTAACCATGGATGGAATAAAACTAAATGTTCTCTGTGATGGATTATCCAAGAAAAGCTTGTTCAAAGCATCCAAAAAAAAAATACCTGGTTAAAGATCTGAAAAGGTGCAGAGCGATGAGATCCGTTGTGAACCCATGTGAAACACGCACAAACACTGGAGCACTTCTTCAGGCCCAACGAGTGCTCAGTGGAAACACAGAAAACACACACACAGCAAACCAAAGAAACCAAACGTAGTCGGTGTACGACGCGTCCTCCAAAAACGGGCACAGCAGATCTCTACAGTTCAGTTACGTCCCCCCGCTCGCTACGCTACCACGTATTTACAAACAATACCTGTGGTTGCCAGCAGTTTGCAAACGAAGGCTGCCAGTGGCTCTGATGACCGTTTCCACGGATATTATTTTGGTAATCTTGTGTTTTGAAGTGACTCATGTTGCGGAAAATTTCAACATTGATTTTGAGTGAATTATTGGAGCAAAGTGAGGTCAAAGTGAAGCAGACACGCCGGCAGTCCTTCAATCAGCGCGACTGTGAACCACCAGAAAAATGGCCGCCTCAGAGGAGCCGCTGGCGTCCGGATCACATGCACGCGCACACCGAATGGAAATCTGAGTGCCAAAATATCTTAAATAACAAAATATATATAATATATACACATTTCTTATAAAAAGAAAAAAAGGTTGACGACACCATCGCACAAACTCGCTGAACACAGTTTGAGGAAAACAAAACAAATGAATGTCAGCCAACACTCATCCAAAAGAAAATACACATCTGCACATACATACCTGTGTGTGTAAATCTACTGAATACTGCTGAGAACAAAAGCATGATGGGGGGGGGGGGCGAGGTCTTAGATGTGCCGCCGCCTGCTGCACGACACCACTGCTGAACCTTCAGGGACTTTACTGGAGGGACAGAGGAGGACATCAGTGTCACACACGCACATATGCACCCACACACACTATTCATGCATCAGTACCAGCGTTATATTGTACAACCCGTTTTATCTGTCGAAGTGCTCGTGTTTTTACGAGCTAGCTGCGACCTGTCTTCATGCTAAGCTAAGTTAGCTCACTGTAGCTTCATATTTAACAGAAATGACTAGCGCCGAACGTCTCGTCGAACTCTCAACGAGAAGACAAATAAATGTACCTATTACTTGAAAGCAATATGTGCACAATTTTACATGTTTTCAACTTGGCAACTGAAAAAATTCCCACTACACCTCTATTTCATCATTTTTTGCCTTCTAAAGAGCTGCGTGTACATAGAAATGTGTTTTTGTTTACCTGGCTGCAGGGTTTTGGAGGCGGTACCAGGCGATACAAGTAATGTCTACACATAATGACTTTTTATAGAAGCAACATGAAGCACAACACGTATTGTTGCACAACAACCAGAAATTTGGTGCTTTGATTCTGTAGAATGTCCCTTAAATCAACATCCACATATTAAAGCTGCTAACTACCCACTAAACATGTAGTGTCACATATAAGAGCCGAGCAAACTGCAAACCAGCACAGGAGGTAAACACTGAAAAACACTCTGTGTCACATCCAGACGTCCTCACTGTCATCAGCATTGGTCTTCTGCATGCTAGCAGCTGGCGCCGGTTCATTTTTAACAGGAAATTAATGATGCAAGAGCCAGTGCCATTACACCGCCCCCCCCCATGTGCCTGATATAAAATAAAAACATCTTCTGTGAAGTTACTGGGAGCAGCATGTTCGACTCTATATTTCCCGACTTGCATCCGCGATGACGCTTCTGTTGCCCCTCACTCTCCCTCCCCCGTCTCCCCTCAGGACATCTTCTACATTTTAGCTCCACGGCTCATAAACTCAAGCAGAACCAGAGTCCGGGCTCCTTTTGTCTTGTGTAACAATGTCATCACATCGATCCAGGCGCAGCAGTTACCTGCTCGTCGGGGCCCTTTTTGTCTCCGTTGACGGCCTTCAGGAGGACAGCTTCCTCGTTCTTGGTGTTGGTCTTCATCTCCACGACGATGTCGTCTTTGGTGGTCTTCTCTTTGGTGCTGCTCACAGAAAAGAACGGTTGGCTCATGTGTATCACAACTATTTTTTTTAATACGAGTTAAAAAGTGATATTTGTTAACCTTGTTTTCTTTTCCAGGTTAACGCTGTTCTTAGGTCAGTTTATTCAAAATATTTCTGCATTAAATACCAAAAGATTTATGGAATGTGACCTCACTATTTAAAGGTTGTGGGTGCATGTGTATTTTTAATTTCTGAAAGGGCTCAGTAATTTCCTAGATCACCTGAGTGACAGCCCCCCCCCTCCTCCCCCGTGTAGAAGAGACGGTACTCACATCTCCTGTTTCCCTGAGCGTCCACAGGGGATCTTCCCCTTCTTATGCAGGAAGTAGAGAACGCTGCCGAGGATGGCGAGCAGCAGCAGACACAGGATGATGACCACGATGATCACCCCACTGCCCTCAGCTGCACACACACACAGAATGTGTCAAGTATGTCTCTTAAGAGCCCTGAGTCGGGCTTAACGCTTAAAAAGACAACAACAATGTTATTTAAACAGTTGTTTCCCAAGTTGCTTATTTAAAAAATTCCTTATGAGAAATAATCAATTGTGTGTGTACATTCTGTGTTGTTGAAAGGGGCAGGACTGCAGGAAAATCTCATTTATTTGACCAATTCTTTATGAACCTTTATTCGGATGACTTAATAAATCCAGAATAAAAAGTTGAGTATTTTTTATTCCTCCCAGTACATGTGGCGTGCGAAGCTATTTGGAAGAAGGATTCTCGATAAAGCTGAGCAATGGGCTCACACAGTCTGAACAGGAGGTCAGTGTACTGCTTAATAACTAGTTATAAACATTGTTCAGTAAGAAGTTATAAACACGTTGGTTTGCGTGTCGTTACCTCGGACCAAACAGTACCATTGTCAGCTTTAAGCCCATTTTCTAACATTAAGTGAGCTGCCATTCCTTTTAATAGCGTGTCATAAAACCGGGATGTAATTCACTCTTAAATGACAACTTCCAACTGCACAAGAATATTGCCCCTATTAAAATGATTAAACAATTAAGAGGAGCGAGCGACCAAATATTTATACGGTGGGAGCAACGCGGCACTTTACATATATTTGCACACCGTTGATTTGAATGGTTGTGGCTCTCTGGAATGTTCTTTATTGGCACATTCTATTCCCCGCAGGCAATAAAAGAGACTGCTGGGATAAAGTCTGAAAATTGCCCCATAACAATGCCACTCTACATATTTACTTCAATTTCACCTGGTAAATAAAAAACAACTATTAAAAACAAGACAGTCTGGAGAAGGTTAGTTAAAGGGACACGCAAATAATGTTTTTTGTCAGTGCAGAGCGCTCGGCCCAAATATCACGAGGGGGTGTCGGCGTGCTTGAAGTTGCTGGTGCTATGATTTTTCTCTGCGTATTAAACAGAATATTTAATGTGCCCACAGGCTAAACCAAAGATCTGCCAGAAACTAGACTGCTATAGAGTCCTCTGCATGAGCACCATAAATAATGCATTACTCACACTCATTCACTGTCACGCACAGAACTTACGGCTTAAGAAGAAACCGAGCAAACAAACAATCTTACCGGGAGAGAAGGGAGCGGCCGAGGTGAATCTGGGAACTGTGAACAAGTAGAACAACGGTTTAGAGTGGGCCCGCCGACACACACACACACACACACACTTCTCATATCGTAATAGATGATTTCTTGTTTTATAAAGCCTTATTTGTGTTGGGACTGGTTTCATTCCTGTTTTCTCTCCCCCTACACGTCCAAACATCCACATGTATGGTCGTGTCACATTTACCGTGTTTCATATTTGTTTTGCTGTTTTGGAAGACCAGAGTGTGTTGAATGAGTTGATGTCTATATGACTGTTAGTACACGATACATACAATACTTTACACGAGCCTGAGACCTTAATGTGTTTAGCGAACTGTGTAAAAGTATAGAAATGTCATTCTGTGCTTGTACACTGTCTGACATCACAGAACAACCCGCGGTCTCATGATGGTCATTAACTAAGACTTCAAAAGAAAAATAAGAGCCATCATCACTGATGCGTCTCTCTACTTCTTTCATGTCATCACTTTGAAACTCACCGCACACAATGGGCCAACGGTGCGGTGATGTTGGAATACAGATTGGGATTTAATGTGCTAAAAGCTCGTAAAGTTTAATGATATTCTCAGTGCATATTTCAGAATATTACGTGGTTCCCTCTCCTGTACGTCCAACCGCAGTCATACAGATGTTCCAGAGCGAGAGAGAGAGGCTCTTACTGGCTTTGATGCTGAAGGCCTTGACTTCAGTCCCCATGTCATTGGAAGCGTTGCACGAGGCGCTGATGTCCGCGGTGACTTTGACCGACAACACGCTGTGAGTCACGTGCTCGTTGGGCTTGCTCACCACCTCGTTCCAGATCTGTGGAGACACGCGCTTTGTTGATGCACATTTCTACCTCTGTATCAGTGGAAATAAGCTGAAGCATAATCCCCAAAGTACCGCCGGCTTTGCAGATATAATCTCAGGCACGGTGTTTATAGGTAAACCGACGGCCGTTACTGCAGTGGCACCTCCATCTGATTCGAACCTCTATTACTCCCGTATGTTAAGCCATTTTAACTTGGTTTTGAAATGTGCTACATCATTTTTGATCATGTTTCTATTTTAGATAATAGCACTCAGAAGTCATTTCGGCTATTCTATGCCGCGTTTCTACACATTTGTTTTTGCATTTTTCAGCACAAACTGAGGGTTTTGTCTGACATCACATTGTGACAATGACTAAGTATAAAGCTGCGAAGGTCCTAATCACTAGAAGATATTGGTGGTGAATTGGCGCTGCACGGCGGACTGGATACCTGGCTGCCGATGACGATCCAGGAGATGCTGGGCGGCGGATGCCCGTGAGCCTCGCAGCTCAGATTCACAATCCTGCCTGTTGCCTCCTCAAGCCGCACCTCCTGCTCTCCTCCCACCAGCTGGGGACTGCCTACACACACACAAACACACATTATTCATTATTTTAAGTATAGCCCATCGTGTTTAGATGCAACCATTTTTTAGTACAAATTTCTTCCATGTGTACCTGTTGTCTTGAATTCAGTATAACGTACAGCGATAATCTATCATTCCACTACAAATGCAGAGCCATCTTCACCACTTCTGTTGCTGCTTTTTTTGTGAGAGGTACTTGTTTTTATTCACTAATACATTCCAGGTGGTTTATGTTCGGTTTTAGGCTACTGTCAAATTGAACTCGACACTTCCTGAACAGATGTTTCATATTAAAAGACCTCCAGTTGTTTTACAGGGTAATAATCCTCTTTCCTGGGTATACCATTTCATTTAAAATATAAAGCTCATAACTCTGATGAAATTCTGTATTTCAAGCATCAAAGATTGACGCAACTCCAGACCTAATATGACCGACCCTTTTAGTATCAGAAGCACATCAGTTTCCAATCAGAGCTCTCTGCAGAATTAGAGTCGCCACAGAGGCATTCCACAACCAAAAACTAACCTTCAACATAAACCGTGGCCACGTATTGTAAATGCAGCAGCAACAGACCACCGAGCAACGGACTGACCTTGGACGATGATGTGGACGGAGCCGCTGGTGTGCAGGGCGGGCAGGGAGGGAACGGTCACCTCGCATATGTACTCTCCTGCTGTTTCATAGTTGGCGTCCTTCAGGTGCAACGTGTTCCCTTTACCCACCTGCTTCCCATTCTAGGCGCACACACACACACACACACACATCGGTGGATGAAGACAGGAGATGTTGGATATTGATAATGATGCAGCTATTGAATTAACTCAATTAATTAAATCTAAATCTAACACTGCTGGTTGTGTTTTTCTTCGACGTCATGTAAACAGTCTAATGTCTACGTACCTTATACCACACAGTGGCTGTTTGAAGGGAGGACAGAGCGTTGCAGGTTGCAGTCAGATCTTCTCCTTTGAGCATGAACTCCGAGTCTTTAGGAACCACCACGGCTGGGTCCAAATCTGAGCACAGAACGCAGAAGACAGCGTCGGGGGGAATGAGTTCAAAGTTTGCCCCCTTTGAGGTGAGATTACATCAAGCTCAGGGCATTAAGTACAGAGCTGAGTCAAGAGTCAGAATGTGTTTAGCTTAGCATAACGACTGGTGTGGAGGGGGACACATGATGGTTCCTCACAGTGCACAGTGAGCTGCATTTCTCCTTTGACCTCGGAGGAGTCGTCGCGGTTCAGAGGCCGACACTGGTAGATGCCACTGTCCTTCCGGGACACCGGTGACAGCTTCAACACATCCCCTTGATTCTCCAGGTCCACATCCAGCTCCTGCAACAAATACTCTCATTTGTAATCCAAATCTTGTGACGATGTGAAAGCCATCACAGAAACTAAGGCACGTTCTTTTTTTCATGTCTTTGCAACAGCCTTTTGCAGGAGAAGTGGAAATTAGCTAAATTAGACATCGATGTGATGTGAGTTCCTTCAGTTTTATTCGGCGGAAAGAGAGTTTGTGGGTGAAAAACCGGTGACTAATCCTAACTGATGCCAAGTCCTCACACGAGCTCCAAATGCTGCTTCGGTTGCCGGTTTAAAGACCGGACATGTTTTTCCAAGCATGCAGTGCATGGATACGTCCCTTTTGACTTTGTTAAATAAATGCTGACACAATCTAGTAGCTTGATGTCAGAGGCCACTGAAGCTTAAAGAATTTAATATATTATTTCATAGTTTCGGGCCATCATGGGAACATTTGTACTAAGCACTTTACCGCCTGAAGACACCAGCTACGACAGGCCGCCACAATTTACATCAAAGTCCATTAGGGCAAGAAACCCAAGCGAAGGGATACGGACAGAGTTTAAACAAATCCTGAATGTTTAACCGTAGCATCACTTAAGTGAAAGTAAAAATTAAAGCTTGACACAAATGTGTTAAGATTGTTCATTGCGTTAAAAACAGAGTGAAACTACGATGAGAGAATCTTATCTCTGCTGAAACACAAAGTGGATTTTCAGAAATCACTTACATACAATGACGGCAAAAAGTATTACAAGAAAACCTAAATTGCAAGAATTTTCCTTGCTTCGCTTTCGCTTTAAGCCGCTTTGACTTCCTAAGTCATGCTCACGACAACTGCTAACCCATTACCCCTGGCTGTCTAGTTAGTAAACCTTGGAAGAAGTTTCGGTGTCGTCCACGCGTACAATAGACGAGTGTCTGACGTGGGAATGAGTCCCACCCATGAGCCCCGTCAGCGTGGCCTCCGGTCTCGGACCCCGGCCTGGATCTGCAGGGTCAGAGCTGACGGAGCCTTCACAGACCTCGCACACTCGCGTCTACACGGGGGCCCTGTGAGCTCTGCATATCAAAAACATTCCCTACATGTCTACAGCATGTCACCCATTCTCTCTTGGGGACTTTAAGGGTGAGAAAATGCCTCCCATTCTTACTTGTTCTCTGTTGAAAACGAAGGACGGCGGGGGGTTGCCATCACCCTGGCAACGCAGCTCCACAGTATCCCCCTCTTTGACCAAGCCCTGGGGCGACTGCTTCCACAGCTCCACCATGGTGGTGGGATCTGGACACACATACACACAATCGAATTAAGGAGGCTTTCTTTAGTGGACTGCTGTCGTCTGTTTACAAGGCCATTTCCATAACGCTGACGGCACAGACTGTGTTCGGCTCTGTCTGCCAAAGCTTAAAAACAAAAGAACGTGAGAGCGTTAAAATGCGTTATTGACAATAAAAAGATTTGAAAGGGCATTTCAGCAATCAACAATTAAAGAGAGATTAATAACGCGATGACAACAAACACATAATTATGAAACCCTGCTGCATTGCAGCGGGTTAAGGCAGAAACAATAGGTTACAATTAGGCATTGACCATGAGAAGTTCAGGGCTTAAGACCTGCAGAAATCAGGTCACTAGTACTGCTGTGAACTTGGGCGCCAGGCCGAGCCTTGCGCTTAAATGCCACGCAGGGCACTTTAAGCCAAGCTGTAGTTAAGCCAGACAGGTGAAGGAGAAAAGAGCCGAGGAAACGCTATCTTGAGGTAGGATTAGTTGAGGTAGGGTGTCCCAAAGACAGAGGACAACTGGACAACTACAGTCAACAACTGATGTGACACAATGTGACATGTATAAAAAGGCTGAGCGTTAACTTACAGTGAACAGTGATGTTGATGCTGTTGGACTCTACTGTCCGGATGGCTCCGGGGACGAAGAAGCTGACCTCACAGGAGAAACGGGCGTCCTTGTCCTCCTTAATCACCTTGTACTCCAGTGTGCTCTGGACGGAGATGAAGCCACTGGACTGCTGGCTCACCAGGGTCAACACGTTTGTATCTGAGAAAGAACAGGTAGATACGTACCAATGAACCACGGCTGACAGATTAAATTCATTCTCAAGCAATATTCAAATGCAAATATATACGGTATTATACTATTTGTGGAAGTTGAAACTAAATTAAAACACAGAGTGTTGAATTACTCCTGTTTGCACTTACAGCCCAGTGTAGGCACCAGTGGCACGCTGTCCCTGTACCATGTGATGTTGGGTTTAGGGAAGCCGCTGCGAGCCTCACACGATGCAACCTGCGAGGACAATCACATTGACAAATACTTACTGTATTGAATTTGGTCCCCTACAAATACTCTACACCTCATCACATCATCTTTGGCTTTGGTTAATAAAATATAAAAGGGGACCCACCTGAGATGGAACCTCATTGGTGATGGATATTCCAGAAACGACACCTTCGATCACCGGAGCCTCCGGTGGAGCTGAATGATTAAAACGTGGTTACTTATGAATAAATGCACGATGAAACAATCCTCCTTTAAACAATGTTTTGTCACACACACAGAGAGAGAGAGCGTGTCGTCAGCCTGTCTCACCAAACACTTTGAGGTGGGTCTTGCCCTCGGCGTTCCCGGCGGCCAGCCCGTTGACCTGGCAGAGGAATTCCCTCTCGTCGCGCAGCTGGACATGCTGGATGGCGAGTCGGGTTCCCTGATCGTCAGCGATCACCTCGACGCGGCCGCTGTAGTCGGTGTTGTTGTCCACAATGTGCTGACTGCGATCGCCGTAGAAGATCCGCGTTCGTGCGCTGTTTCCTGCGGCTTTCTGCGAAAGGAGACGAGAGTTCGGGCTTAAATCAGCGGCAGCCTTCGATCATTAATTTGGTTGATGTTTTGCGGCATATTTTTGTCACGCTTTGTGTTTTCATCATTTTTTCCGTGTTGTTTTCATGTTTTTTCACGGTGATGAGTGGTGTCCTCTAATTCTAGTTTCTGTGGTTCTTTATTTATTAATTCATGCCGGATATCTTTAATAATTATGCACCAACTTTAATTTGTGTGTAGGAGGAGTTTCCTGTTAAGCTGCTCATCAACGATAAACATAAATTCAAAAAGATCAGGTCCTGCTCCAGGTCCTGCCCTAAGGATGAGGGCCCCCCCACCACCACTCTCTTGCCCGCCCTGCAGGTGTCACTGTTGAAATGCGTTTCAATCTACTTTAAAAAAAAATAATTTTAGAAATGTTCTTGATCAGATTTTGATCCCTCTTGTAGAAGCAACCTCCTCTGCTTCTATGGACCTGAATGGATCTGAATCAAAGGCAGCTGCTGTCTGTCACCCTACTTTCTCTCTCAATATGAATCACGAGTAACTGGTCCATACAATGAAAAATGAATATAAAAAATGTGTGTGTCACAAGCTAAATCATCTCAAAGGCAATAAAACCCACAATCAATAAATGACTGCTGCCATATTTCATCCTTATATCACCTGCTTTGACAACTGATAATCCAGGACATACAAAGTCAGATGCTCCCTGACCATGAAATCAAATAATTGACTTTATGGAGAGCTGCCCTACTTGGTAACGGACGTGTGGTGTCAGGTTTTGCAACGGGTGCGCCGGCGCTCACCACAAACCACTGGATCATGACAAAGCTGGGCTCGTTGTCGGCATCCGTGAAGTTGTACTGGCAGGGGATCTGAGCCGAGTCGCCCGCGTACACCTCAACGGCCTCATGCATGGTCAGCTCCACCTTGGCCCACGCTGAAAAAAACACACAGACATGCACATAAATCAGCGTCATGCTTTTCTGCAGGTGCTGTGGCATGGTCCTATATCATTCACGGACCATTCAAGTCGTAACACAGCATTAAACTCAACATGAAAACGCCATTTCACCGTGTCTGTTTTCTTATTCTAATTTGGACCCTCGAGCTTCACGTAATTCTAAACAGAATTGTGTTTGGCCGATGAGGGAATGTCTTCCCGGGCCAACCTGGAGCCACTCTGCCATGTTAGCAGAACAAAGAAGAAAAGGCTTCTTGTCCACATGGCATCATTTTCATCTCCCTTCTGCCTGGCTGACTGTAACCACAAAACCACTTCTTGGCCAGAAAACCAGTTTCCTGGGCATCGTTGGGGGAATGCAGGCATGAGAAGGCCGGCCAGTTTGACACTGGGCTGACGACTGGGAGAGCCAAGAGGGTTTTTCTTTTTGGACTTGGCTGCTGTAAGAGGGGGCCAGTTCACAACAGCGAGAAAATAAGACTTGTTTTGGCATCGTCTTTGTCAGTTCAGCTTAGATATTTTGTGCAAAGTGGTAATTATACCACCCCGCCCTCTCCTCTCGTCAGCTGCCACAATGTGACGTTAAAATTCAAATGTTGGTTATTCAAAATGATCACATTTTCATGTTCAGCGCTCTATGACGTGCAGTACTTGAACTTGCAGTAAAACAGACGTGAAACAATCTTAATTTAATCCTAAGGAAAAGTAATTCAGACATTTTCTGCAACTGTGTTTTGTTGACTGATTATGTGGGTCAAGCAGCTGTATTTGGGAGAAAACCGGCTGTAAATTTGATGTAACCGTTGACTTTAGAAAAACTAGGGTCATCTGGTTTATTTGGCCATTCAATACATTTTCAAAAATAAGTGAAAAACAATTAGCACTGCTAGACCTTAGTGTCCTCAGCGTTGGTTGAAACAGACCAAGCATGAAAAGAGCTGTTCAGTTACCACCCTGCCGCCCCCATCCAGCCGGCTGCTCCCCCATCACCACCATGTCTCCTCCCCCCACTTCAGCACCAATCATTTTCACAACCCCCTTTTTTTCCTTCTTTTTTTTTTTCTTCCGTCCCTCCCTCCTCCGCCTATGCTCAGCCAACCATTCCTTTTAAGACAACGGGCATGCCATTGTTCCCCCACCTGGGTGGACCAAATCCCCCCGAAACACACACACACACACACACATGCACGCATGCATGCCCCACCCACCGGGCCCCCAAAAGATAGGTTTCCATTCTTAAACCAAAGGTTAAGGACAGTTCACCGCGTACTGAAGTTGTTTACAGGGACAGAGATGATGAGAGACGGCTCCCAGACAAGAAGCAGATTACGGAGGCCGGAGAGAAAAGCATGTCACAGAAGTCACTGTAAAAAATGTTGCGTCTCTTTGGGGCCGCGCCGCTAACTTTTCAGCTAATCCGATTAGCACTGGGGAGGGGGTTGTTGGGGATTTGGCTTCCAAAGCCAACCTGGGACCGGTTTTATCTGCTCTTGTTGTGACTTTATGCTACATGGACTAAAGCACGAGTACACATGACCCATGATCTGTGGACCCTGACAACCAAAAACCGCTGCCCGTGGCTGCGGGTGGGTGCATACATTTGTGGCTGTCTGGAGTCTGTGTCTGGATGATACAGAGCTAATTCATTCAGATTTTTTTTTTTTAAAAGCACCGCTCCAGAATATTTGCATGTGTTGACATGATCGGCCCTGTGACCGGACAGCAGGACCTCACATGACTGTTGGGAGGAACCAGCGACATGAGGGGCACACGGAGAGAGACTTTCCCAGTTCAACAACAAACACAATGACGTTAGCAAATGTATGATGAACTACACACAACTCAAGCATAATTATGTCACCAGTTAACTGGAACTCAATTAAACCGTACCCAAGATAGCTCTTGTGTGATCCAGAAGCTGGGAATTGTTACAAACTTGTGCTAAAGTAATACGTTTAGGTGCCAATGCCAACTTGTTTTTGGTAACTCGCATCGAAGAACTCAGTTTTCTGCAAAGACCTAAATGCTGATGTCTGCACACAATGATAACCGGAACTAACGGAAGACAACATAGAGAAATTCAAAGTCAGTTTTCAGTGATTTTAGTACCTTTGGCCATGCGAGCAGCGTGGCTCCATGGATGGTGAATGTCAGTTACTCAGTCATATTTCGAGACGCAGCACGTTTGAGGGAAAACGGAGGGAATTAAGAGACAAAAAATGAATAAATTATTTTCCTATCCTTCCATTCAAGGCAAATGAAGACAAAAGCACAATGCAAATCAGCCAAAAACAGACATAACGAGCGGGATACTTCAGACAGCTTTTGCATACAGTCGCTCATTATCTGCCTTACACAGAGACAATACCCTCAGACGCTAACTACAGTGGTCACCATTACTGGCTTTCCCATTCGATTAAGGCTGTCAGCTTAAAGTCTCAGTAGATCTGTTGCCCGCCACTGATAAGGAGTCCAAATCACCTCTGACACAAGAAAACCAGCCCCCTTTACTCACCCTAATCCCTCACATGCCTGGTGGGCCATGAAATGAGACTGAATGCCTCTGAGGACATCAGAACCTCCATTAATAAGTTACATACAAACCCTAATGTCCGCTTAACAGGTCAGGCAGATTTTTAAACAGATAATAGTGTAATTATCTTTGTTGTAATGCTAAAGCCACAGGGGGAGAAAATCTGGTGAGAGTGCATATTGAAACATAAGGATCATATTAGCAGCATATAGGTTTTTCCATATATTTTTAGGGAGAGAAAAATCTTTTTTTTCAAGCTACGTTTGAGGATATGTGAGAGCAGCCCTTCACACCTTTTCAGGACTTCTCTGAACAAAAGTTGTGAGTGGACACAGAGTCCCTCGGAGAGTGGAGGGTGTAAAAAGGCTAGCATGAAAATGCGGATGACAGGCTGGGGGGGGGGTTTCTCAATACCCAACTCCGGTGTAGTGTCGAACACCTGGGGGACACCGCGTACAGCCCGACATCAAAGAGTGCAGGCGCACGGTGAAACCCTCCGGACCAGATGAGAGCTCCTTGTCCTCGTCTGGGCTTTCAGAGGCAGCATCTGGCACAAATCTCCCAGCAGCCTGTTCCCGGGGTGACAGTCAGTAGCGGTTAAGGGCCCCCGGATTTACTCTTTCCCGTACAGAGATAAGGAAGTGCTGCTAAATCGCCTCAAAGGCGACCCTTTGTGCATCGGCGCCCCGCTCTTTCACGCAGCAGAGCATCTCACAGCTGCAGGTCAGGACCTGTCGCGTAGCCCCTCCATGAACACTGCTGAGGTGGACTCACTCGGGAACATCAGAAACATACGAGGCTGACACTGACCTTTTGTGCACAACACTTTGCATTGTGCAAACTTCAATTTTTGTTTTGCACCTGTTTTTGTCATTTCCAGACTCCAAACGATCCCGACATGAACGAGTTTCTGTTTAATAGTCTACAGGAAGCATATTGGTGCACTGCAGTGTGAATTAAAAACTTGGGGAGTATTTCATTCTTTTATAAGGAAGCTTTAGTGGAGAAAACGATATCTAATTATTACCCAGGCGTAGCTACTGGCCAAGTTACAGAAATAGTAATTATTTAATCAGATCAGATTGTAAAGTGCTTTTAGGGAACTCTTAATGCAGCCAAAGAACATATCTCTGCAAACTGAAAAATACATGCCTGACTTTTATGTCCCTGTCCTATGCTCTTTCTGTCATATGTAATCTTTAAACTGAATGTGTAGACAAAATGTAATCTGTTGTTTTTTTTAGTTAATGCTCATTTTCAGAACTCTTGTTAACTGTCCTGGGAATATTTCTCCGATGGTTTTATGTGTTCTTCAGACCTGCAAACAGTATGCACCGGCTTTTTAAAGAATTACTAATCATCCCCGCTGGTTAGCAACTTCCTCAGCAGCAGCATTAATTTTTTATCCTCACACCCGATGGGTGAGACTTCATTAGAAGGAGCAACATGAATGTTTTATTCATACTTGTATCTGATGTTCGGCAGTGAGTGTGGCTTGTTCCCCTGCATCCACTCCCCATCAATAGACCCCCCCCCCCACCAGAGCTGCTGGGCTCAGGCATGCAGGTTGCTCCGCAGCCACAGGATGGCTAATTAAAAGGTCAGTAGGCTAAACACTGTGTCTACGTCCAGGGGGTTTTCCTTTAGCTATCACTAAACAAAAACAAACTCAGAGTGAATCAATGTTAACACGTTTTCCTAAAAACTCAATTAGCCGGCGAGCGTGCTTTGTTGCTACAAAATCAAAACATTCAGCTGTGGAAATGCAACATAAATGGATTTTGTAGTCATTTTGCAAATAGTTCAAGTACATCAACTGCAACCAACTCCGTATGCAGTACCCGGCTGGTGCCTGAATACAGCAACAATCACAAAAACTAGAGCTTGACCTGCTAACAACAATCCAGAAATACCGCCGACCACAAAGCTGCAGCTCTCGGGGGAGACGCTTTAATTCTGTTTGGTTTCCATTTCAAACATAAATATCAATTCAAGGAAACATGAATTGGATTTCCTTTCATTTCCTAAGTGGATTGGTGAGTTTGGACTGAATGCTAACCACAGGTATGGAGTGCGTCCTGACCTTATTGAATGCAGACACCACAATCATGTACAGCTGAACCAGTAATTAATACAATATTCGACACGTCGAGTGATCCCACATCACGGGAGGGGGGACGAAATGGCATTTGGAGGTAGACAGAATCTGGAAATCTGGAAGCGATTGTTCTAATATTAAATTGTGTGAAAGACGAGACATTACGGTAAGATGGGCCAGGTACGAGGCCTCTGCTGTTATTCTAACGATATAAATAGAGACCTTTCCAATCTAACCTCTGACGACAGCACGCCGACGTGCTGCTGCACTCCAACAAAGGCCTTCTTATCCCAGCCCCTGTGGTCATCATCACACTGCTGAAAATCCTTGAGCTCTACCAACTAG